TTAGAGGGGCCCCTGGACTGTTTGGGCCCGGGGGGGGTGTTCTGCAGCTTACCTGGCTGCTTCATGCTCTGACTGAGGGCTGCTGGGAGCAGGGGGTTGGGCTTGTTGCATGTGCCCACCCCCTGGGTTCTTTACTGCCAGAGCTCCGCTCCTGTGCGCTCCTGTAGGAAATGACCCCTGGTCACAGGAGTCCCAAATATTACAAATTCCACTAGTAGAAAGCACCATCAAAGATTGGCAAAACAGTATATTTAAACAATTATAAAGTTGGTGGTGTCACAACAACAACATTTATGCATACTGTAAATATATTAAGGCATAAGATGCAATATTTCCTCCTTTGAAGATAAGACATAAAGTCCATGTATTCAGTGTAACTTGATAGGAGGACATCCACATAGTCATAACGTATTCCAAACAGCCTTTGCAAAGACGCCCATTCTAGATATTTGGAAGATGCGTTTCCTTCGACTTCGGTTTGCCGGCTGTGTGAACCTTGTGGTCTGTTGAAATTGCTGAAATCAGGTTCCACTCACAGTTTCGCAGGAAGCGCATCTTCCAAATATCTAGAGTGGGCGTCTTTGCAAAGGCCGTTTGGAATATGTTATGACTATGTGGACTCCTATCAAGTTATCAAGTTACACTGAATACATGGACTTTATGTTTTATCTTCAAAGGAGGAAATATTGTATCTTATGCCTTAATATAGTTACAGTATAAGTGTTGTTGTTGTGACATCATCAACTTTATAGTTGTTTAATATAGTGTTTTGGCAATCTTTGATGATTTCTACTAGTGGCATTTGTAATATTTGGTTCTCCCTATAAGAAGCTCATAAGATGAGCCTGCTTCAGAAGGGAGGGCGGGGAATCTCCCTTATATATAAAAGCGGAATGGTGGTGGCACTTCTCTAGAACATTCCACAGGCTCCGGAATTGGTTGGCGCCCTGGTGTGTCACTCAGGATCTGTCCCTATCCACTGGCTGCATTGCTTGAGTCTCGCCTCCAACATTCTAAACAGTTTGCTGTTCCTCTCCCCCCCATAGCCAGTCAGAACACAGAGGTTATTTGCATATGCAGCCTCATTGGCCTTTGCCTCGGAACACAGAGGTCGTTTGCATATGCGACTTGATTGGCTTTTGCCTCTAACATTCTAAACAGTTTGCTGTTCTGAGGTAAAATGTGTCCAATCTCCAGGTGAGGGCTGGAGATCACTCCGAATTACAACTGCTTTCCAGATGGCAGAGATCAGTTCCCCTGGAGAAAATGGTGGGCTCTGTATCCTATGCTGCTGAGGTGGCCCCCGTATGATAGCCAATGTGATGTAGCAGTCAGGGCTTCAGAGCACCGGAGAGGCTGCAGGTGTGTGTGGGGTGGAAAGCTGAAGAGTGAGGGGGAAATAAAGGTAGGTTGATGATTGGCTGGGAAGGAGACAGGATTGCCAACTCCAGGTGGGAAACTCCTGGAGATGTGAGGGATGGAGCCTGGAGAGGGTGAGGTTACAGGAGGTGTGGGACCTCGGACAGGTACAAAGCCATAGACTCCACCCTACAAACCAACTATTCCCTTCTGGGGAGCCATCGTTGTCAATCTCCAGGTGAGGGCTGGAGATCACTCAAAATTACAGCTGTTCTTTAAGTAGCAGAGATCAGTTCCTCTGGAGAAAATGGTGGACTCAGTGTTATCATACCCTGCTGAGGTCGCCACAGCAAATTGACACTGAGTGTCTAAGGCCGGGGTACCCGCCCAGAGCCTCTTTCTAGAGGCTGTTGTATTTATTTCCACACTGGGCCTTTTTCCTAGTGATTGAATAAATAAATAAATGTTCCACTCACCAAGGAACAGGGCTTGAAAGGGGGATTTAGCTTTGCCCAATGGGCTTCGCTCCACAAAGGAAACACCAAACCGCAGCTGCATCAACGAGCCAGGTCCCACAGCCCGCCTTCTGTAGCTCTCCTCCCACGGTGCACGTTTTACCAACTTAAGGTGCTCAGGGCAGGGACCTATTTAGCTTTTGAACACTGGGATTCGGTAGAAGAGCCCCTTGCTTGGCACGCCGAAAGTCTCAGGTTCAACCCCCGGCATTGCCAGTTAGATCCACACTAAAATTGGGTCCCTGATTCTGCAAAGACTTGGCAACTAGTCTCTAAGGTTACCACTGCCACCCCCAATCTGTTTCAACTGGATTCGCTATTAAGATGCTTGGCCAACTGTGGGAGGAGTAGGTTTTCCTTTGGTCCCCCTTTGAAAAGTGGGATCCTGTGCTTTTTCTCCAGGTACATTTTGTTTTATTGGAACTTTCTGAAACTATAGATCCGGGAAGGGGCGGGGGAGAGACTGGAGGAAATCCCTTCAAGTATATTTGACCCTGAAGAAACACCACAGCTGTCCCCAACGGTGTCTGTCTAGTAGCAACCCATGCCCTCTCAACATTCAAAAGGTGTCCGAAGGCTCAGTGAGGTTGGGGTATTTTGAACTGGTGGGTGGTGGCAGCAGAGGCAGCAGCAAAATGGTCTAAACGGGCATCATAGCATGCTGTGAAGGAAAGGGGCTGCCCCCGGATACGGGAAGAGTCAGCCTCCACCTCTGAGCCTTCAAAAGCATCTGAAGAAGAGGAGATTGGATTTATACCCCGCCCTTCACTTGGGAGTCTCCGAGTGACTTATAATCTCCTTTCCCTTCCCCTCCCCGCAACAGACACCCTGTGAGGTAGGCGGGCCTGAGAGAGCTCTTTCTGGATCTGCTCGAGAGAACAGCTCTAAGAGAACTTGTGACTGGCCCAAGGTCACCCAGCTGGCCGCATGTGGAGGAGGAGTGGGGGAATCAAACCCGGTTCTCCCGGATTAGAGTCAGCCACTCTTAAACACTTCTTGTTGTTCAGCCGCACAGTCGGGTCCGACTCTTCGCAACCCCATGGACCAGATCACGCCAGGCCTTCCAGTCTTCCGCCATCCTCTGAAATTTGCTCAACTTCATGTCCGTTGCATCGATGACACTGTCTAACCATCTCATCCTTTGCTGTCCCCGCCGTCTTTGACCTTCAATCTTAAACACCACGCTACACCAAACTGGCCCTCAAACTGAAATTTATTCAGGCCGCTTACAGCCTCCCAAGCCGTCGCTCCCCCTCCTGGGGAAAAGAACAGAGTCTGCGTCCAGCGGCATCTTTAAGACCAACGAAGTTTAATTCTGGGGTATAAGCTTCCATGTGCACGCTCACTTCAGAATGAACCTGAAGAAGTGAGCCATGCCCACGAAAGCTTATACCAAAATAAAACTTTGGTCTTAAAGGTGCTGCTGGACTCGAACTTTGTCCTGTGGCTTCAGACCCACATGGCGACCCATCTGAATGTATTCTCCTGGGCAGGGGTCATTTCGTAGAAAAAGAGGTGCAGGAGCTCATTAGCATAACTTATTTGCATATGCCACACCCCCTGACAACACCGGAAATGTGTCAGAAGGCAACGCCCACCGCTCAGGCTCCACGGGACTATTTTAGATTTCTAGCTATTTGGGGGGGGGGGGAACGTGAAATTCTTCCCTCGCAGGGGGGGAGGAGGGAGAGCTTGTACCTGAATAAAACTTGGTCTTAAAGGTGCCACTGGACTGTTTTGGACCGGGGGGGAGCTCTGCAACTTACCTGGCTGCTTCTTGCACTGACAGAGGGCTGCTGGGAGCAGGGGGCGGGGCTTGTTGCATGTGCCCACCCCCTGGGCTCTTTACTGCCGGAGCTCTGCTCCTGCCCGCTCCTGCAGGAAATGACCCCTGCTCCTGGGGCAGGTGAGTGCTCTAACAGGGCTTCCGTGGTGTTTCCAATCAGTCATTCATGCCAGCCTACAGTGCTACTGATACACCCAACCCCGCTCCTACGTGCAAAACCAGAACTGGGAGGGTAGCCGAAAGAGTCCAAAGCTGCTCTCCGGCACGCGGTCGGGATCTTGGCAACTCCCGGATCAAGCCAAGCCAGTGCCTTTTTTTTTCCCCATCCGCTTTTATTTATAAAGATTAGTTTACAAAACGGCCTCCAGAGTGACGGCCGAGGCGTCTTTTTTTTTTTTTAACTTTTGCTCGCCGTTAGAGCTACGATGTATTCGGAACCTTTATTGCAATACCATAAATAGGACATGAGGAGGCCTACGTACAAGGAGGCGGGTTCTACTCCTTGACAGTTAGTAACTAGTGAAGAAAGAGAGTGTTGATTGCACAGGAACAACATTAAATATTTTGATGCACACACAAAAAAAAGAAGAAACCAGACCCTAGAGTGCCTGCAGTTCAAGTACACTGGGCCCAATCCGTTGGGAAGGGCTTTTGCACAAGAGGAGCCGCCCCAGAGCAGTGGGGGCTTGTTCGGGACAACTTCCAGGTGGATCGCACCCCTTATGTACCACCGAGAGTGTGACGGCTGGCCTAAGTAGTGAGTGAGTGCTGAACCTTCAAGTAGACAGGTATGTGTTTGTTTGTTTTTCCTATGACAAGTTCTGCTGAGCTGCACGACCCGGGTGTGTTAAAACGCTATCCTTCCGACCACCAATTCATAAGGATTTCTCTTCGTAAGAAGGTCCATGCGGTGGTTAAATGACGACGTCTTCTGTAAAGCCCATAAATAAAATAGCTGTCGATCCTATTCGTGGAATTGTGGGGGGTGCGGGGGGAGATGAGGGAGAAAAAACTCTGTCCTGTCGCACCTCCGTGGGCGGTTTTCGCGGTGCACGACTGGAAACAAACCCCAAACCCAAATTCATCTCTTCGTAGAATTTCAGGAAAGAAAGAAATTTGCTTGCTCAGTATCTGGCCCCGGGGTCGTCAAAGAGGCATCCTGGTTATCTGAAACGAAAAAGAACATCCGTCACCGACGGGAGAAGTTTTTTTCTCTCCATAAACACTTTATTAGGATATAATTAAAAAATCCAACTCACAATCCATTTCAATTCGTCATATATCCTTTTCTCCTATCCCCCTCCCCTTTACGGCTTCCCAAAGTGCTCCAACCTCCAACCCATATCTTAAATTCTCTCAATATTTCTTTATAATATAATCTATCACAATCTACAGGTAACATTTCTTTCCACTATTATTCTTATACATTAATCTTTTTTTCTATTATCATTCTTTAATAATTCTCAAAGCAAATTAAGTTGTTCTTTACATCCCAATATTTCTCTAAATATTCTTTGAAGTCTTTCCAATCTGCAAAAAATTCTTCCGCTTCCAGATTCTTAAGCTTCCTTGTCATTTTATCCATTTCAACCATAAAAAGTAATTTCTTTCTCCGCTCGTCAATTTCAGGAATTCTATCTTGTTTCCAACATTGAGCACAAGTCATTCTGGCAGTTGTAATCATATACCACATCAAAGTCCTTTTCGCCATATTGACTTCTTCCATTTTAAGTCCCGAGGGGAGAAGTTTTTGAAGTGTATCTCAGTGTCGGGCTGCGGGACGAGAAGGCACCATAGAGGTAGCAGCGCTCTCAGGCACGTTTTGCCTCCTAGCATTTCTCCTCCAGAGCGAGCGTTAGGAGGGCCTTCCTTTTCCTCTGTGCAGGAGTTCCTGCAGATGGTTTCCTCTGAAGAGCCACCTCCCTGCAAAGTTCGAAGGATCAACTCCTGAAGGAGGCAGGCGGCACCCAAGGCTCCGCTTCCAGACTAGAGCCCTGAAACACTCTTTGGTCTGCCCCTGAGCATGTGCAGCACTGCGTCGCTTCCGGTAAGACCCTAAAAGGGACACATGGTAGCTCTGGGAATCCCTAGAAACTCTATGGTAAAACTATTCGATCACCGGGAACTATTCTGCACCCGCTCCGTTCTGTCCACATCCTTTTTGAATGCTGTGGCATAACTGGATATTTCTCTATCGGTGCCCTATCTGATTGTAGGGCAGAGTGGAGTGACCTAAAACAAGCTGACGTGAGAGAAGCCAGTGTTGGATCAGGTCAGTGGCCCATCCGGTCCAACACTCTGTGTCACACAGTGGCCAAAAAGACCAGGGGCCATCAGGAGGTCCACCAGTGGGGCCAGGACACCAGAAGCCCTCCCACTGTTGACCCCCCCCCCCCAAGCACCAAGAATACAGAACATCACTGGCCCGAGACATAAGGACATAAGAGAAGCCAGTTTTGGATCAGGTTAATGGCCCATTCAGTCCCAACATCCTGTGTCACACAGTGGCCCAAAAGACCAGGTGCCATCAGGAGGTCCAACTGTGGGGGCAGAACTCCAGAAGCCCTCCCACTGTTGCCCCCCCCCCCCCCACCACCAAAAAAAACAACATCACTGGCCCCAGACATAAGAACATAAGAGAAGCCAGTGCTGGATCAAGCCAATGGCCCATCCAGTCCAACATTCTTGTCACACAGTGGCCAAAAATACTAGAGGCCATCAGGAGGTCCACCAGTGGGGCCAGGACACTAGAAGCCCTCCCACTGTTGCCCCCCCCAAGCACCAAGAATACAGAGCATCCCTTGACCCAGACATAAGGACATCAGAGAAGCCAGTGTTGAATCAGGTCAATGGCCCATCCAGTCCAACACTCTGTGTCACACAGTGGCCAAAAATACTAGGGGCCATTAGAAGGTCCACCAGTGGGGCCAAGAGACTGGAAGCCCTCCCACTGTTGCCTCCCCCCAAAGCATCAAGAATACAGAGCATCACTCACCCCAGACCGAGAGTTACTATCTATACCTTGTGGCTAATAGCCCCTGATGGACCTCTGTTCCATATGCTTATCTAATTCCCTCTTGAAGCTGTCCATGCTTGTAGCTGCCACCACTTCCTGTGGCAGTGAATTCCATGTGTTAATCACTCTTTGGGTGAAGAAGGACTTGTTTTATCTGTTCTAACCTGACGGCCTTGCGAGGGAAAAACCCATGTGTATCATCACCTGAACTCTTGGGACGAAACGGCGAAGGACTCAGCGACCGATGCTGTTCTCTCAAGGACCACCAGGTGGCAGCCTTTGAGGAAATCAGTGGGCAAGGCAGCCTTCCACATCTACCTTGTGAGAGTGAAAAGACGACGCCATGAAGGCAAATTCCAGTGGGATCCCCCCCCCCCGCTTTGAAAGCAGGCGTGTGGAGCTCCTTCGCTCTGTGCATCTACTTTTCAAGTGAAAACCAAAAAAATCACACACTGTGCAACCTCTTCACGGTAGTCCCGGCATGAGCTCCTGTTTGGTCCTGTGATATTTCTGGAGAGCCGCAGAGGGCGTCGCAACGAAGTACCGGCCCTGAACCCCTCCACCGCTGCATGTGCCTTCTTTTGGATGATTTCAGGCTCCCCGTTTCTCCTGGTGGTCCCCCCGACCGGCCGCGATTACCCTTCCAGGGCTCTTTTTGTAGAAAAAGCCCAGCAGGAACTCATTAGCATAATAGGCCACACCCAACAGCAGAAACTCATTAGCATATTGGGCCACACCCCTGACAGCACAGCCCATTAGCACATTAGGCCACACCCCCATGTTACCAGAAGTGTGGTCATCCAGCCACACCCACCTTTTGCTTGTTATTCTGTTTACCTTGTTTGTTGTCAAAACCCAGGGCCTTTTTTTGTAGCAGGGACTCCTTTGCATGTTAGGCCACACACCCCTAATGTAGCCAGTTCTAATGAGTTTCTGCTGTTGGGTGTGGCCTAATATTCTAATGAGTTCCTGCTGGGCGTGGCCAACTTGGGAGCCAGCCGGAACTCCGTTCCTGTGCGTTCCTGCCCAAAAATAGCCCTGCCCTTACCAATAATTGCTTCTGCAGGACGTCGCCAAGTCCTGTGCCGTCGCGACAAAAGTATTTACATCCAGCACCAAGATCCCTTTGCTCTCGAAGGCCTCTCTGCTGGCACTGGGGTTTTCTGTATGGAGGAAAGAAGATGTGGGCGGGTGTTACTGACGCCTCTGTATACTGTCAGCTAGTCTTGGACCAAGAGGTGACAGGCTGAATGACAGGAGCACTCCGTCCATGAATGTTAGCTGCACAATGTGTCTTTTGTAGGACCGGCAAAAAGCATCCATACAACTATTAAGAAGGCTGTCCCCCCTTTTTGGAAGACTTCATGCAAGGAGAAGCGGGCTTATAATTCTAGAAACTCCTGTTGGGGCTTGACTTTTAAAGCACTGATGCAAAATTGTCTGGTAGTTAGCAATCTATATGTACTGAATGTTATTGCTTATTGGATGTAATGGATATTTATACCTGACTAGGATGAAAGAATGATACACTATGCATTTTACTAAATGATGAACATAAATCAAACACATTCGTTTGTTAATAGGTTTTTGCAGTGTATATTTATTTGTTACTAGACCCCAACCGGGGGCAGGGGATTTTCTGCCCCAAGTGGATGCTCCTAGCCACAGCTCAGCTAGCTGGTGTGTGTGTGGGAGGGGAATGCTGCCAAAATGGGCAGGGGGTATCGGCAGCATCCCAACCAGTGTTCCCTCTAAGCTGAGTTAATGTGAGCTAGCTCACAATTTTTTTAGCCTCCGGCTCACACATTTTTGTCTTAGCTCAGGGAAGGATGGCTACAGCGTAAACTAATTTCTGCGGTAGCCAAATTGCTCGCTCACCACTTTAATGCCAGTAGTTCACAAAGTAGGGTTCTTGCTCACCAGACTTTACAGCTTACAGGGGGCATTGGTCCCAACCTGCTGACATCAGTTTGGTGTAGTGGTTAAGAGTGCGAACTCCAAACTGGGAGAACCGGGTTTGATTCCCCACGCCTCCACTTGCACGTGGCTGGATGACCTTGGGCAAGCCGTAGTTCTGATAAGAGCTGTTCTTGAAACAGCAGTTTCTGTCAGAGATCTCTCAGCCCCACCTGCCTCCCAGAGTGTCTGTGGTGGGGAGGGGAAGGGAAAGGAGTTTGTAAGCCGCTCTGAGACACCTTTGGGTAGTGAAGGGTGGGGTATAAATCCAATCTCTTCTTCTTCTTCATTCGCTGTGCACAAGGAAGTTAACATCCACACGCTACTTGGTGACACTGGGGAGTCGGGACACTCTGCTATTTGGGCAAAACTCTATGGTTCAACCACAGAGGTTTGCCCAAATGCCAGAGCATCACTGGCATTCATTTCCGGTGTGCACAGGAAGTGATGTCAGCGTGTCACCAGCAATGTCAATGTGTTGCCGGCAAGGGCCCCCGAGCGCCCATTAAGACCCCACCCCCTGCCAGTAGTCGTGGGGGGCGGGCAGCCACCCCTAAGTCCTGGAGAGGAAAGGATTGTCGATTCTCCCAAGACCAATTGCGGCCAGCGTTCCCTCTAAGCTGAGTTAGTGTGAGGCTAGCAGCCACTGACAGACCTCTTCTCCATCAATCTGTCTCACCCCCATTAAAGCCTTCTATGCCTGTGGCCATCACTACATCCTCTGGCAGAGAATTCCACATTTTCATCACTCGCTGTGCAAAGAAGTACCCCCTTCGGTCCATCCTGAATCTACGCCTCATATCAACTGAAGTCCCGTGATATTCGGGACAGCCTGCTCTTCACTCTGGACGGCGTCAACAGCTTGATGTAACTATGAAGTGACTCCAGGGGGCAGTGTTGCCTCTAAGCTGAGTTAGTGTGAGCTAGCTCACAGTTTTTTAGCCTCCGGCTCACACATTTTTCTCTCAGCTCAGGAATGAGGGCTCCAGAGCAAACTAATTCATGCAGTAGCCAAATAGCTCGCTCACAACTTTAATGCCAGTAGCTCACAAAGTAGAATTTTTGCTCACAAGACTCCACAGCTTAGAGGGAACATTGCCAGGGGATGCTGTTGCTTTCTGAAAGCCTCCCACCACCACCACGGGTGATCTGCCCACTGCGGCAATGCCACCACAAGCTCACATGGTTCTCCTGGTTCCTGCAGTCACTTTCCACGTCCCCCTGCAAAGGGAAGGGGGTGCTTAAGATCCGAGGCCCAAGCCAGGGAAGCGTACCGAGAGGAAGCGGCTTCCTTACCTGTCAGAAAGACGGCCAGTCGAGCACCAATGTTCTGCACCTGCAAGTTCAACAAGCAATTCAAATACTCGGGTCTCGGGGCGGATCGGGAGTCGCACCGGTGGTAGTGAAGGACTTCGGTGAAATCGGCCCCTTGGCAGGACCGGAGGATCGAGTCCTTGGAGCATGCCGCGGGGTCCACCCTGTGGGATGAGAGCGGGTCGGGAGGTCAGCACGGAAAGATCTCCGCCCCAAAACAAATGCACCCTTTCCAGGGCTGGTGATATTTCTAAAAGTGGCATGGATGGGGCCAGGCCCGTAGGTACGGTGGGGGCTTGGGGGGGGCTCCACCCTCTTTCTTAAAGGCACAGCCCCACAAGAATTTCTCCTGTAAATGACCTTTTCAATCATTTAAAGACTTTTTTAAAGGTGTGCGCTCCTTTAAGCAGACTGGGGGGCTGTAGCTGACTAATTACCGCACTGAGCAAGGGGGTTGGAGTAGGTGACCTCTAGGATCCCTTCTAGCTTTGTGTCAAGAAACTGATCTCCTTTAGGAGAGTTTTTCTGCCTCAGTGTTAGCTATCTTGACTATAGAAGTCGTCGCCTCCACCTGCCAGCTTGTTCTCAGGATTGTTGCTTAGGCTGGCAGGAGTGATTAACTTGCAGAGCTGGGAACTGTCATCTAAAGTGGGCGACAACTTGCAATTTAGAGATTTGTCCTGGTCACAGCTTTCTATTGGCTAAATGGCTTTTCTTTCTGCCCTGAGAACTTCAGCCCCACCAGAAAAAAAAATTGCCCCAGAAGCCACAAAATTTGTGCCAGTTTGCATGGGGTGAGGTACCAATGTGCCATAATTTTAAATGATTGGAGCTTCAGCGAGGTGATTTTAGAACGAAATGGTGGAGAGGACCATATTTTGTGCCACTCTTCTGTTGTCAAACTAATGTTGCATTCTTTATGCCAGAAAGTTTGATAAGTTAGGCTTGTATCACTATCTAGAGAAGCTAAAACCTTATAGATTTTAGAGATTAGGCCCCATTGTGTTACTCTAGCTATACTGATCAACGATTCCAAGGTCGTGAATTTAAAAACCTTTTTAAAAAGGTGTGCGCTCCTTTAAGCAGAGTGGGGGTACTGTAATTGACTAATGCCCACACTGAGCAATGGGGTTGGAGTAGGTGACCTCTAGGATCCCTTCTAACTCTGTGTCAAGAAACTGGTCTCCTTTAAGAGAGTTTTTCTGCCTAAGTGTTAGCTTCCTTGACTGTAGAAGTCATCACCCCCTCCTGCTGGCTTCTTCTCAGAATCGTTGCTTAGGCTGGCAGAAGTGATTAACTTGCAGCAGCTGAGAACTGTCATTTAAAGTGGTTGGCAGCCTGCAATTTAGAGATCTATCCTGGTAGTAGCTTTCTATTGGCTAAATGGCTTTTCTTTCTGCACCGAAAACTTCAGCACCACCAGAAAAGAAATTTGCCCCAGAAGCCACGAAATCCTGACTACGGGCCTGGATAGGGCAAAGGACATGTTTCTCAAAAGACCCTCTTGTATCCTTGCCTGGCAGCAAAATGGCAGCTACGCTTCCAGTGCCAGAGGGAAGGAGGAGAGAACGGAGCTGAAATCATGGCCCAGGCTGGTTTCTTTCTATGGAGCAGGTGCCTACAGAAGATTGCGACAGGCATCTGCCAAGCATCTGCTCACTGGAGAGTGGGAAGCCGGCCGGCGATCGAGAGCCGGAAGTTCTCACCTTGCGTTTTCTCTCAGTTTCTTCGTCTCTTTGTAGTGAAGGAGCCACCTCCACTTCCGGTGCCCGCTGAGCTGCTCCAGAGTTTTCACCACGTCCTTCAGCATCCCTGCAGGAAGAGCATCAGTAAGGCTGGTCCAAGGAAACAGTCCGGACGGGGGGCCTTTCACCCCCACCCTGGCCCAAGTGTGAGCAACAGAGCTCTGGTCACGAATAACACTTGATATACTAAGGCCTCTGGGCACTTCGTACATTTTATAGTCTTGCTCACGACCACTCTGCAGTGTAGACCAGCAGGGGTCATTTCCTGCAGGAGCACACAGGAGCGGAGCTCCGGCAGTAAAGAGCCCAGGGGGCGGGCACATGTAACGAGCCCCACCCCCTGCTCCCAGAAGCCCTCAGTCAGAGCAAGAAACAGCCAGGTAAGTTGCAGAGCCCCCCCCCAGCCCAAAACAGTCCAGTGGCACCTTTAAGACCAAGTTTTATTCAGGCACAAGCTCTCCCTCATCTGCGAGGACAGATCTGCACGTCCCCCCCCCCAATAGCTAGCAATCCAAAACAGTCCAGTGGCACCTTTAAGAGCAAGTTTTATTCAGGTACAAGCTCTCCCTTCTCTGTGAGGGCAGATCTGTACGTCCCCCCCCCCAATAGCTAGCAGTCCAAAACAGTCCAGTGGAGCCTGAGCGGTGGGTGTTGCCTTCTGACACACTTCCGGTGATGTCAGGGGGTGTGGCACATGCAAATAAGTTATGCTAATGAGTTATGCTAATGAGCTCCCACAGTTCTTCTGCGAAATGACCCCTGTAGACCAGTATTATTCTTTCTGCTGTGTAGAAGGGATTGGGGGGGGGGGGTGTTGCGGTGGCAGACAGTGCGGCTTCCTTAAGGCCACCCAGGAAATTTGTGACTGGACTTAGAATCACACAGAGTCGGAAGGGGCCCTACAGGCCATCTCGTCCAAAGCCCTGCTCGATGCAGGATCAGCCTTGAGCATCTCTGACAAGTGTTTGTCTAGCCGCTCCTTAAAGATGGCCAGTGACTTCCTGGACTTCTGTTTCCATTATAAACCAGATCTGCACCAGATTAGAAGTGTGTAAAAAAAAAAAGCCAGTATTTTTCGGCTTCGGGTAAATTAGACCCGAAAAATATTGGTAAATGCCGAATTTCCGCAGTCCAATACCAGTAAAGTGTTGGGATCGGGAGCTATTCGGAATTGCCGAATATATTTGGGTCTGATATACACCACCAGAGGGAAAGGAGGCATGTTAAAATGCCTTCTTTCCTTCTGGCAGCCCCTGTAGATTTCCTTGTGAATTTCCCAGTCTGCTGTTAGTGAAATTAAGAAGGGAAAGCCTCCTTTCTCTGCCTTCTCTTCTCTAGCTGACATGGGGTAGTTGGAGAAGGGCAGGCAGGGAGCCCAGGCATGTTTCCCTGCCCTCCATGAGCCGCTCAGCTCCTGCGGAGAAACTCAGAGAGGGGAGGGAAAGTCAGAGGAGGTAAGTTTTAATGCCTTTCTTTCAGGGAGGGAAAGAAAGGCATTTAAACATCCCACCCCCCCAAGCTGGGGAAGTGAAGGTCAGGCATGGAAACATGCCTGGGTTCCCTGCCTGATCTTTTGCAGGTATCCTGCAGGCGCGGGGCACCTGGAAAAGGTCTGCCAGGGAAACTACACATGATTAAAATGCCTTTCTTTCCCACCCCGAGATCGGGGAAGGAAGGAAAGCGTTTAAACCAAACAGCTGACTGGCAGTTCAGGCTGTTAGGTTTAACTGACACCTTGTAAGAGTAGCAAAATGAACCCGGAAAAAAGCCGAATAATGTCAGCTTTTTAGGGTTCAGCTATACTGGCAGCTGAATATAGTTCTCTGATCTGTATTCGGCTTATGTGATACCCCAAAAATACCGACAAGGTATTATTTGGGTATTTTTTTGATTCGGCACACCCTTGTACCGGATTGATATGGCCTACGTTAACCAATGCAGGTGTAGCCAGAAGAGGTTAAAAATCACCACTGGATCCAAAGGTGCGGAATGCCCATCCTTAAAAGGCAAATGCTGAAAGTGTCACTTCAAGCTAACTGATACTGAATCAGGCCATTGGTCCCTCCAGATCAGTATTGTCTACTCAGGCTGGCAGCGGCTCTCAGGGGTTTCCGGCTGAGCTCTTTCACATTATCTACCCGAGATCCTTTTAACTGGAGATGATGGGGATTGAACCTGGGGCCTTCTGCAGAGCAAGCAGAAGCTCTTCCTCTGAGCCACAGCCCCCCCTTCCATAAAACTGCCTTATAGTGACTCAGACCCTCAGTCGGTCAAAGTCAGTATTGTCGACTCAGGCTGGCAGCAGTTCTCCAGGGTCTCAGGCTGAGGTCTTTTCCATCCCCTCCTGCCTGGTCCTTTTTAGCTGGAGATGCTGGGGATTGAACCTGGGACCTTCTGCATGCCAAGCAGATGCTCTGCCACTGAGCCACGGCCCCTTTTTACAGCTCTCCAGGGTCTCAGGCAGAGGTCTTTCCCATCACCTCCTGCCTGGTCCTTCTTAACTGGAGATGCCGGGGATTGAACCTGGGACCTTCTGCATGCCAAGCAGATGCTCTGCCACTGAGCCACGGCCCCTTTTTACAGCTCTCCAGGGTCTCAGGCAGAGGTCTTTCCCATCACCTCCTGCCTGGTCCTTCTTAACTGGAGATGCCGGGGATTGAACCTGGGACCTTCTGCATGCCAAGCAGAGGCTTTGCCACTGAGCCACGGCCCCTTTTTACAGCTCTCCAGGGTCTCAGGTGGAGGTCTTTCCCATCCCCTCCTGCCTGGTCCTTCTTAACTGGAGATGCCGGGGGTTGAACCTGGGACCTTCTGCATGCCAAGCAGAGGCTTTGCCACTGAGCCACGGCCCCTCTTTACAGCTCTCCAGGGTCTCAGGTGGAGGTCTTTCCCATCCCCTCCTGCCTGGTCCTTCTTAACTGGAGATGCCGGGGGTTGAACCTGGGACCTTCTGCTTGCCAAGCAGAGGCTCTGCCACTGAGCCACAGACCCTCCCAGTCTGGCATAAGGCATAGTGAGAATAGGAATTTTCCAGGAAGCAGCCCGTTTTTATCAATTTGCCTATCTGAAGGAGCAAAGAGAGATGGGTGTGGCCTGCAAAGACTCAGTTCGCGGAGAGGCTTTAAATGCAAGATGACTTTTTATAAATAAGGCTGGACCGATGCCCCCCCGCACGCTCATTTCCTCTGCACAGGACAGGGCTGTTTTCACCTGGGGGGGGGGAAGCGTTTCATTACACGACTCCCCCGTTGCATTCAAAAATGATCCCACCACCCCAGCGGGCCGCAATTTCTTCAGACCATGCATGCATGCCCCCCTGAACACAGAGAAGTGGAAACCCCTTGCTCTCTCACCCGTGGTCATGGTCTCGAGCACTTGGTCATCAGACACCACAAAGCCCCCGCTGTGGAAGAGCTCCTGGTAGGTTTGATCCAAGAGGTCCTCGGGGCTGTCCACGCCGGCAAACGTCACGCTGGGGAAGCGCTTCAGGCGCAGCAGGGAAGGAATCTATTCAAGAGGCAAACGTTTCCCGAGGGTAAGACCTGTCCGGTTCTAACATGCAGGGTGGGGGTTCTGTGGGAATTGGGATTCCACCTAGGCCACCAATGTTTCCAGACTCAGCGAGGCAGAAGCGCCTCTGGGAAGTTCGCCCGTTCCCCCGCCACTCGCTCCCAGCAGCTCGTAGTCAGAGGTAGGCTGCCTCTGTCTATGAAGGCACCACGGCTCGTAATAAAACGGCCGTGGAGGGAGGGAGACGTCCTGGGATAAAAATACAGGGACCTATTACCACATGTGGTGGATGTGTAATAAAATCCAGGGATATTGGGAAATGGTGAGAAGGATAATTCAAGAAGTAATGGATTAAAAACTTGGCGTTGGAACCTGAAATATACTTATTAAATATAATACCTAAAGGATATAGCCAGCAGGATAAATACATATATAATGTTTATATGTTTATATAATAACCGCTGCACGTATATTGTTGGCCAATACCGACCAGGGAGGAGCTAGTTGTGAAAGTGTTAGAACTAGCACAAATGGATAATCTGAGCTTGATGTTGCAAAGCCACTTACTGGAAGCTCTAAACATAAGAATTCCTGGCGATCCCTAGAGCTTCCCGGAAGTGATAGCGGTAGCTCCAGCAATTAAAATCTGTGGTAAGATTAGTAAGATGATAGACTTTCGGGCCACTGCAAGAGCTAGTCTTGTCACTTCTTGGGTAACTCTAGGAACCTCTGGGAACTCTATAGTCTGAGCTTCCAGTAAATGCCCGAGGCCTTATTTTCCTTTTTAATTTTTATCCCCAGGGTTTTGCCCTATCTTCCCAGTTTCCCCCTGGTGATCGGCTGAGCGTTGGCGGACAACGGCCACAATTATCTGGAGGCCTCCTGCCATACGCGGGCAAACGGAGCCCTACTTTTCTAAGGACCAACAGAGTAAGGGTCATCAGCTCTGAAGACCACATAATTTTTAAAATTATTATTCAATTTGTATCCCTTCCTCCCTGCCGTGGTGGGCTAGGGCAGCTTACAGAAATACACACACACACACACACACACACACACACACACACACATATATATAAAATTAAAATATGATTAAAACACAAAATATGGTTAAAACACAAAAAATTGAGTTAGAACCACAACATGAAAAAATGTTGTAATAAGAAACATATATTAAATATTTTAAAAAAGATGGTGGTATTCTCTCAGTATCCTGGTGGTCAACCACCACCACAGTCCGGGTTCTTGCCAGGCTGTTAGTTATTGAGTCCGTGCTGATATTGGTGCTGATGTTGGGGGCCGGGGCCACGATATTGAAAGGCGGCACCCCTAATCGAAAGCCTGGTGGAAGAGCTCCGTTTCACAGGACCTGCGGAACTGTAAAAGGTCCCGGCAGGGCCCTGATGTCATCCGGGAGCTCGTTCCACCAGTAAGGGGCCGCCACAGAAAAGGCCCTGGCCCTCATCACCGCTAGCCTGTCTTCTTTAGGGCCTGGGCCGATTTTGGGACCCTGGTCTTAGTGCTCTCTGGGGAACATGTGGGGAAAAGCGGTTCCTCAGGTAAATTTACTGTAAAAATTGTAAAAGGTCCCGCAGGGCTCCGATGTCATCCGGGAGCTCGTTCCACCAGTAAGCGGCCACCACAGAAAAGGCCCTGGCCCTCGTCACCGCTAGCCTGTCTTCTTTAGGGCCTGGGAGGGCCGGCCGATTTTGGGACCCTGGTCTTAGCGCTCTCTGGGGAACATGTGGGGAAAGGCGGTTCCTCAGGTAAATTTACTGTAATATCTCGTATAATAATTACACCCCACCTTTCCTCTTCGCTCAAGGCAACGTGCAAGCAGCTACTGTGATGTTACAGATTAAAACCAAGTAAAATCCCCCAAATGCCCACACCCAAGGAAGGGGCCCTCTCATGTCTTCGGAGAACCCGTTCCACAGTGCGGGGGCTGTGCTAGAAAAGGCCCGAGCTCTGGTCGATGTCAGACGGGCCCCCCTCAGTGGTGGGGTAGCCCGGGGCTGGTTGTCCAATGTCTGTAATTGGCACATGAGAATGCAAAATCCCAAACCTTATCCAGGGCTACTTATGAGCAGATAATGTATCGGGGCGAGGCGAGCTTAGGGGCACTTGAGAAAAGAAACGCCCGAGGATTTTTCTAGCAGGAAGCCACTTTGCATCTCCAACACTTACTTTGTGTACGTGCAGAAAGATGTCCTCATTCCTAATGATCACCACTAGCCTGTCCGTCTCCGGGCGGCCGGCCTTGCAGAAAAGCTGAGGGTCGGCCTCCGAATGACCCCCTTTTTTCAGCAGGTTCTGAAACGACGTTAACAGAATAAAACCTACTGTTAAAAAAAATGTACCAACCATTTTAGTTACCGACAGATTTGTAGTTGGGGCTAAAAAACAAGGTAAAGGTAAAGGTTCCCTTGCTCGAAAGCCAGTCGAATCCGACTCTAGGGTTGCGGTGCTCATCTCCGTTTCAAAGCTGAAGAGCCAGCGCTGTCCGAAGGCATTTCCGTGGTCATGTGGCCGGCATGACTAAACACCAAGGCGCACGGAACGCTGTTACCTTCCCATCGAAGTGGTACCTATTTATCTACTTGCAATTTCTTGCTTTCGAACTGCTAGGTTGGCAGTTAGCAGCTGCCGAAATCCACAAATGGAGACAAGGTTATGGCTCACAAGCTGGGTGTCGGTTTAGTGCACAAAAAGTCGGAGGTGCAATCCCATGCACCTCCATTTAATAAGTAAAGAACGAGAACAGAGATCCCCAAGTCCTTATATCCCAGGTGGAAGGTGGGAAGGGGTGTTGCAAAGAAGAGGAGAGGAGGAGATTGGATTTATACCCCGCCCTTCACTTGGGAGTCTCAGAGCAGCTCACAAACTCCTTTCCCTCCCCCTCCCCACAACAGACACCCTGTGAGGTGGGTGGGGCTGAGAGAGCTCTGACACAAACTGCTCTTTTTCAAGGACAGCTGTGCCAGAGCTTGTGACTGACCCAAGGTCATCCAGCCAGGTGCAAGTGGAGGAGTGGGGAATCAAACCCGGTTCTCCCAGATTAGAGTCCGCACACTTAACCACTAAACCAAACTGGCTCTGTGGCAGTGTGGATGCAGTGTGGATGCGAAAGGACAATGCACGTTGCAATCAGCTTGATTAGAGCAAAGGAGAAATGCTAAGGGGCAGACAATTAGCATCTGTAGTGAGATTGCATGTGGGACCTAGTTTCAAAGTAGTGCAGCACTTATATTGCAGGGAACACTTGTGTTGTGTAATGCAGCCTTGTCCCATGAAACATCACAACTTAGATCAGGGGTGTCAAACTTAAGGCCTGCGGGCTGGAACCGGCCCACCCAGGGCTTTAATCCCGCTCGTGGCTCTTTTCTCCCCCCCCCCTCACCCTTCGAAGCTCCAGGCTGCCGAACTTCCCAGCTCCCTCAGCCTTGTCTTTGCCTGCTTTGGCAGGAAGCTCTTCTGGACATGCAAAGTTGCAAAGGAAATATGGAATGGATTTTCCATTAAGGTCTCTGGATCCAGATAGATTACTCTTGGACTGTTTCTAGCAATAGGGACTGTCGTTCCAGTCCCAGAGCACTGTTTCTAGCAACAGAACCAGTGTTCTGGGACTGGAATGACAGTCCCTAGCAATAGAATCTGTAGTCTGGAACTGGAATGACAGGGCGCAGAATGGAAAGACAGCCCCTAGGAGTAACAACAGTGTTTTGGGAATGGAATTCCACTCTGGGGGTCTTCATTCCATTCCCAGAATGCTTCTGCTCCTCCCAGGGACCGTCATTCCACTCTGGGGACTGTCATTCCAGTCCCAGAGTAGTTTTATCTAGGGCCGGAGACCTTAATGGAAAATCCATTCCGCATTTTCTTTGCAACTTTGTCTGTGCTGCAATGTATTTCAATGGAGTGGAGCTCAAATAGTTTCAGTTTCCAGTATTCGTACGCCAGCTGAAGTTGTTGCTGGTTGGAGTTGTCGTCTTGTAAATAAATGGTTAATGTTTTGAGCCAGCTTGTCTCTGCTGAATGACCCTGGAAATGAGTGCCTGAGTGAGTATTCTAACCTGGGCAGCTCCGTTCCTCGCCTGTTAGATTTAAATGGCCAGGGGTTTTGGTATAGCTGATTCCCCACTTCTCCACATGCAGCTGCTGGTGTGACCTTGGGTCAGTTACAGGTTCTTTCAGAGCTGTTTTCTCAGAAGCAGTTCTCAAAAGAGCTCTCTCAGCCCCACCTGCCTCATAGGGTATCTGTTGTGGAGAGGGGAAGGAAAAGGATATTGTAAGCTGCTTTGAGACTCCTTTGGGTAGTGAAGGGCGGGTATAAATCCAATCTCTTTTTCTTCTGAAAGCACCCGAATAAAAGCCAAATAAAATCAGCTTTTTCCAGACTCAGCTCGGTAGCTGAATACGGACCTCTGATCTATATTCAGCTTACATAATACCCAAAAATACAGACAAGGAATTTTTCAGGTATCTATTCGGGGCTTGGACAACCATAGACAGACGCCATGATATACTACATCTATACCAAGGGACAATAGTGAGGGCCAATGGGGAGAAGTCCCTGCACTTTTTCACTTTTTCTTTGTATCCTTGCTCAGCCTGATGCAGGAACAGACAGTGTATACTCTTCTCATTTTTGTTTACTAAACTTTTGTATATTATGACTGCCTGAAGCCTGATCTCTGAAAATGCACCATGCCCCTTTGGTCTTGTTATATGAAGTGAACTGAGAAGGAAGGGCAGAAAGTAAACTTGATAAGCACAATAGCTCAAGATTGCAAAGGGACAATTGATTGTCCTCATGGCAGCTCGGAGGAACAAAGTGTGAGATGCAGCAACTAAACAGAGTCTTGTATTGCCAATGCAGGTAGAATCCTAGGTGTGCAAATCCACCCAGTGGGAGACACACTCTGATTTGCTGGTGGCAGTGGTTATGACCGAGGTTCCCTTTAAGCTGCGCCAGGCTACGCTGGTGCACCAATTTCGCCCGACCAGCACAGCAATTTTTTCAGAGCGTAGGGGCGGAAGGTTCCCTTCCCAATGGCCATGCAGCACGGCTCCGTTTGCCCAGGCAGCACAGAAACACAGCAGTATGATTTGTGTTTCCTAATCTGGGCTGACCCCGCCTCCCCTCAGCTGGGGTTTGCTTGCCCTATGAAAGGTCCTCTGCCTCGTGCTCCTGGAGAAACACTGGCCCAGAAGGAGTATTGCTCTGTTGCCCACCTTCTGTCCTTCCTGAGGTGAATCGCTGGTTGTTTGTTTTGTCTGAGGGTGTGTGTGGGGGGGGAGGTCAGCTGGAACGGCCAGGTTGGGATCCGTGCAGGATCGCCAGCCGTGTGCTTGCTGGGAGGCTGTACATGCCTTTTTTTCAGCCCCGTGCAGTTTCTCTTCCCTTTGGGAATGGGGGGGGAGGGCTTTTGCTGGCATGAGGGGAGGTCAGCTGGACCGGCCAGGCTGAGATCTGTGCAGGAACGCCGGCCGTGTGTTTGCTGGCCTCTTTTCAGCCCCGCACGGTTTCTCTTCCCTTTGGGAGCGGGAGAGGGGGTGAGGGCTTTTGCTGTCATGAGGGAAGTTTCTTCCTCCTCCAAGTCAAGCTTTAGGAAAAAACAGTAATGCACCTTATATAATGCAGCAATCTCACTGTGAGGTGGGCACTTTCCCAATTTGGAGAGAGTTGGCTAATGATTTTCAAATAGCATTCTCCGTGTTGGCTCTTAATTAAAATAAAATGCCATGGCTGATCACTTTGGAGTTGGCAGGCAGAGTTTTTTTTTTGGGGGGGGGGGGGATTAAGGCCAAGGCATGAGGCTAGAATGACTTAGCTAACAAAAAACACAAACACACACGAGCTGAACACAATGGGACCATAAACCTGCATTTAGGGTTGCCAATCTCCAGGTGGGGCCTGGAGATCTTGCAGACTGACCCGTCTCCAGACCACGGAGATCCCCCCGGGAAAGCAACCACTTTGCAGGGTGGACTTTATGGCATTAGACCTCTCTGAGCAGAGCACAGCAGCTAAATGGAACCTCCATGTATAGGGGTAGTGTATCTCGGAACCACACCCCTTTGAGGTTTCTGTTGGAACTGCGAGAGAGGTTTTAGCTTGATGAATGCCATCAAAACTAAGATAAGGAGTCGGTTAGAAACAGATCACCTGGAGAACTTAATTGAGAATAAAACCGGATATGAATTTCTAAAATATTTGAAAGAGTCATATAAGCAGGGGTCATTTCCTCCAGGAGCGCACAGGAGTGGAGCTCCGGCAGTAAAGAGCCCAGGGGGCGGGCACATGCAACAAGCCCCACCCCCTGCTCCCAGCAGCCCTCAGTCAGAGCAAGAAGCAGCCAGGTAAGTTGCAGAGGCTCCCCGACCCAAAACAGTCCAGGGGCACCTTTAAGACCAAGTTTTATTCAGGTACAAGCTCTCCCTCCTCTGCGAGGACAGATCTGCCCCCCCCATAGCTAGCAATCAATAGCTAGCAATCCAAAGCAGTCCAGTGGAGCCTGAGCGGTGGGTGTTGCCGGACAACGACTCGAGATAGCAAGAGGAAGGATGCAGGCTTAACTTGTAAGGGAAATTACAGCTGTTTCTATACAAATGCTAGAAGTGTCCGAGGTAAAATCGGGGAGTTGGAGTGCTTGGTGTCGGAGGGAAAAATAGACATTGTGGGTATTTCTGAAACTTGGTGGGATGAGGAAAATCAGTGGGACACAGTGATTCCCGGTTATATATTATATCGGAAGGATAGGGGGGGAAGGGTTGGAGGTGGGGTAGCTCTGTATGTCAGAGAGGGTATAAAGTCTAGAAAGATTGAGAGGCTAAATGAATTGGATTCGCTTCTGGAAGTTCTATGGGTTGAAATAGGGGGGCCAAAAGGAAACTTAACACTGGGAGTTTGTTATCGCCCACCAGATCAAAAGATAGAGGAGGATTATAAAATGATGAATGCCTTAAAGATAGCAACTAGACAAAAACACTGTGTAATAATAGGTGATTTTAACTACCCACACATTGATTGGGTCAATATGTGTTCTAGCCGGGAAAAAGAGATTGAGTTTCTAGACACTCTAAATGACTGTGCTATGGAGCAGATGGTCACGGAACCTACCAGGGGAGAGGCGATCCTTGATTTGGTCCTAAGTAACACTCAAGACCTGGTGAGAGATGTAAAAGTGATTGCACCGCTTGGAAACAGTGATCATAATGTTGTTGAGTTCATCATTTGTACAAATAGAGAATTGGCCAAAAAGACTCACACAACCATTTTTAACTTTAAAAGGGGTAATTTCTCTGATATGAGGGGACACGTGGGGAGGAAACTGAAAGGAAAAGTAGAAAGGGTCAAAACAATTGGGGAAGCTTGGGATCTATTTAAAACTACGATCCTAGAAGCTCAAAAAATATATATTCCGCAGGTTAGGAAAGGCACAAACAGGTATAGGAAAAAGCCTGCATGGTTAACAAACAGAGTAATGGAGGCTGTAAAAAGTAAAAAGAATTCCTTTAAGCAGTGGAAAGCTAGTCACAGTGAGGCTGATAAAACGGAACACAGGCTATGGCAAATAAAATGCAAGTCTGAGGTCAGGCAGGCAAAAAGGGAATATGAGGAGCATATAGCAAAAAACGTAAAAACCAACAATAAAACTTTCTTCAAATACATTAGAAACAGGAAACCAGCCAGGGAGGCAGTGGGGCCCTTGGACGACCAAGGGGTAAAAGGAGTATTGAAGGATGATAGGGAAATGGCTGAGAAGCTAAATGCATTTTTTGCCTCCGTCTTCACTGTGGAAGATGAGAAGTGCTTGCCCACTCCAGAACCACTGATTTCAGGAGGGGTGTTGAAAGACCTGAGTCAGATTGAGGTGACGAGAGAGGAGGTCCTAAAACTGATAGACAACTTAAAAACTGAAAAATCACCAGGCCCAGATGGCATACATCCGAGAGTTCTGAAAGAACTCAAATGTGAACTTGTAGATCTCCTGACAAAGATATGTAATCTTTCCTTAAAATCTGCCTCCATTCCTGAGGATTGGAAGGTAGCTAATGTCACTCCCATCTTTAAAAAGGGTTCCAGAGGAGATCCGGGAAATTACAGGCCAGTCAGTCTGACGTCGATACCGGGTAAATTGGTGGAAACCATTATTAAGGAAAGAATTAGTAGGCACATAGATGAACAAAACCTATTGAGGCAGACTCAGCACGGTTTCTGTAAGGGAAGATCTTGTCTCACTAACCTGTTAGTGTTCTTTGAGGGGGTGAACAAACATGTGGACAAGGGGGATCCAATAGATATTATTTACCTTGACTTCCAGAAAGCTTTTGATAAAGTTCCTCATCAAAGGCTCCTAAGTAAGCTCAAAAATCATGGGATAGAAGGACAAGTCCTTTTATGGATCAAAAACTGGCTAGTTCATAGAAAACAGAGAGTGAGTGTAGGTGGGCAATTTTCTCAGTGGAGGGTGGTAAGCAGTGGGGTACCGCAGGGATCAGTACTTGGTCCACTGCTTTTTAACTTGTTCATTAATGATTTGGAGATGGGAGTAAGCAGTGAAGTGGCTAAATTTGCGGATGATACAAAGTTGTTCAGGGTGGTGAAAACCAGTGAGGATTGTGAGGCACTCCAAGGGGATCTGTCAAGGATGGGCGAGTGGGCGTCAACATGGCAAATGGGGTTCAATGTGGCCAAGTGCAAGGTGATGCACATTGGAGCCAAAAATCCTAAATATAAATACACATTGATGGGGTCTGAACTGGCAGAGACTGAGCAAGAGAGAGATCTTGGAGTTGTAGTGGATAACTCACTGAAAATGTCGAGACAGTGTGTGACTGCAATAAAGAAGGCCAATGCTATGCTGGGGATTATTAGGAAGGGTATTGAAAACAGATCAGCCAATATAATAATGCCCCTATATAAATCAATGGTGAGACCTCATTTGGAATACTGTGTGCAGTTCTGGGCACCACACCTTAAAAAGGATATTATAGCTTTGGAAAAAGTGCAGAAAAGGGCAACTCGAATGATAAAAGGGTTGGAACACTTTCCCTATGAGGAAAGGTTAAAGCGCTTAGGGCTCTTTAGCTTGGAGAAAAGACGACTGAGGGGTGACATGATCGAGGTTTATAAGATTATGCATGGGAAAGAGCAGGTAAAGAAAGAGGTACTTTTCTCCCTTTCTCACAATACAAGAACTCGTGGGCACTCCATGAAACTGCAGAGCGGTCGGGTTAGAACGGATAAAAGGAAGTACTTCTTCACCCAAAGAGTGATTAACACATGGAATTCACTGCCACAGGAAGTGGTGGGTGCTACAAGCATGGACGGCTTCAAAAGGGAATTAGATAAGCATATGGAGCAGAGGTCCATCAGTGGCTATTAGCCACAAGGTATAGCTAGGGGCTCTGGGGCAAGTGATGCTCTGTCTTCTTGGTGCTTGGGGGGGGGTCAACAGTGGGAGGGCTTCTAATGTCCTGGCCCCACTGCTGGACCTCCTGATGGCACTGGTATTTCTGGCCACTGTGTGACACAGAGTGTTGGACTGGATGGGCCTTTGGCCTGATCCAACATTGGCGTCTCTTATGTTCTTATGTTCTTATGTTCTTCTGACACACTTCCGGTGATGCCAGGGGGTGTGGCATATGCAAATAGGTTATGCTGAGTTATGCTAATGAGCTCCTGCACCTCTTTTTCTACAAAATGACCCCTGCATATAAGTAATACAAATATGTTCCATATAAATAAGTTTAATATAAATATATGGCTTGTAATCCAAATGATAATATTTGTATGTTATGTATGTTTGTACACTGAAATAATTTTTTTTTTAAATGTCGGCCCACTCAGTTCTAAAGCTAGCACGACTTTTGGCTCACAGGGTAAAATTTCTGCTCACGAGACTGCACACCTTAGAAGGAACATTGGTTATAGTTAGTGTGAGCCAGCTCACAGTTTTTTAGCCGGTGGCTCACACATTTTTGTCTTAGCTCAGGAAGGATGGCTCCAGAGCAAACTAATTTATGCAGCAGCCAAACCACGTGCTCACAACTTTAGTGCCAGTAGCTCACAAAGTAGAATTTTTGCTCACAAGACTCCACAGCTTAGAGGGAACATTGCTTATGACCCAGTTAGTTTCTACTACCCAAGAGTACAGGAAACAGATGGCATTGCCGAGCGGAGATGGCGGCATGGTTTCCAGCCTCTTGGGCTTGCGAGTCCATTCCTTCACAACACCCAAGAGTAATCCTATAAATCTCAGAGTCACAAGATAGCTATTCACTAGTAAAGGCTGCCTTGCTTAAACAACAAGTTGTCCTGTTACTCTTCCCGTATGCTTGGCTTGAGGAGTAATAGCTACGTGCCTAAAATAATTTCTGAAAATATGCTCAACATGAGAGAATCCTGCAATCAAGCTTTAAGGGATATCTGGCCGATGCTCTGCTTCCAAACTTGGACGCCATCCATCCATTCTGTCTTTCCACAGTTTCCAAATGTGGAATCCACTCTCAGGCATATCCACTCTCCCCACCCGTCATCCTCTCCTCGCCAGTGGATATCCCCCCCCCCCAACAAACATACCTTTTTCACCCATGGAATACTGTTTACATGCACTAACACTAACCATGGCTCCCTGGTAGCAAAAACTGGAAATTTAGTTTGCAGACCATGAATATGAAGACAAAACTACTTAGGATAAACTCTGGTTACTGTCATCCCATGTTACTATGCTAGATCACGATTAAAGAAAAACAAAGAGGCAGGAATTTGTACCATACGAGGAACTGGGCAGGGGAGAATCATAGAATGTTAGAGTTGGAAGGGACCTTACGGGTCATCTAGTCCAACCCCCTGCACTCTGCAGGAGCATAGCTGAAAGAGAGCCCTACATACCTACAACATACCCGAAAGATGGTAATCCAGCCTCCGCTTGAATACATCCAGCGAAGGAGCATCCACCACCTCCCGAGGCAGACTCTTCCACTGCTGAACCACTCTTACAGTTGGGAAGTTTCTCCTGATATTTAGCCGGTATCGACTCCCTTGTAATTTCCACCCATTAGATCTAGTCTTGCAATCCGTAGCAAGAGAGAATAGATCTGCTCCACCTTCTACATGACAGCCCTTCACATACTTGAAGACTGCAATCATGTTCCCTCTAAGCCTTCTCTTTCCCAGGCTAAACAGACCCAATTCTTTCAGCCTTTCCTCGTAAGACTTGGACTCCAACCCTCTCACTATTCTGGTTGCCCTCTTCTGGACACACTCAAGCTTGTCAACACCCTTCCTGAAATGTGGTGCCCAAAACTGGACACAGGACTCCAGGTGAGGCCTGACCATAGCAGAACAGAGCGGAATGACCACCTCCCGTGATCTGGACACAATGCTTCCGTTAATGCATCCTAAGACTGCATTAGCTTTCTTCATAGCCACATCGCACTGCAGGCTCATGTTTAGCTTGTGATCAACCAAAACACCCAGATCCCTTTCACGTGTGCTGCTGTCATGACATGCAAGCATCAAAATGCCTTGCATGCCTAAAATCCGTTATGAATTTTTTAAAAAGTGAACGTTTTACCTTTATTCTCCCAAAGACGGGATCGTCGCCTGTTTCCACCAGGTAGAAGGAATAGGGTTTTTTGCATGCCTCTTTGGCAACATTTGTAAGTCTGAAATGTAGTGTGTTGCACAAGTCATCGAAGAGGTGCTCGTAGGAAGTCACCCTTCCGGGCAAGGACTGGCATCTTTTCTCCGGAACGTCTTCTGAGGTAGTATTGGGATCTTGCCCTTTGTGGCTCGTCTGCCTGTCGTCCAGCTTCATCACCCTGCTCAGCTCGGCAAATTCATCCATAATGACCGAGATGTCACCCCGGCAGTCTTTTAGCTTATTATTGTACGTTAACTTGTTGAGGTGGAAAGGGGTGAGCCGCTCCTGCCCCTTACTTTTGAACCTAGCAGCTTTACTAAAGGAGTCCCGTAGAAGAGGCGAAGGGCCAAAGGAGTCGCCGGGCGTGCTGATTCTAGGGTACCAACGGGCGGCACTCCGCCTCGCGCTAGGATTCACAATTGTGATCAGAAGGGGGCTTCTGCTCCGAGGCGGCGGATTTAAAAGAGGACCGTCGGGTATCTTTCTCAAAGGTAATGTTTCGGCGGCTGCCTGAGTTGCAAACTCTTTTGCAAAGAGCTCGCCGGAGGTAGAGAGTTGTGGTCGCTTCTTTTCTAAGATGTGCTTTAGCTTATAATGAAAACGCAAACACTCCATATCTAACGTGCTTTGGATAGGGTCGTCCAAGACTCGCCAAGTCCTGTTCAAGGAGTTTATTAATCCCGACCTTTCCGTGAGACTGTCACCCCTCTTGGAAGGGTGAAAAGTTCTGGTTTTGTCCTTGTGTTTCTTGGTGACGGAAAAGTTGATATAATCCTTCAGCGGCCCCTGCTCGCCACCAGCTTTGAGTGAGGGCGGGGCAGGTCTATCATCCCTTCGGGACGTAAAAGGCCGGTCAAAGCATTTAGTCTCAGGTTCAACATCCAAAATCCTTGTCTTTTTCCCAAAGTACACCCAGTCGTCACTTGTACCGATCTCTTCCTCCGGACTCAAATCACGGACGTAAGTAGCCCCCGTAACTCCTCTAGAATCGATAGATCTTGTATAACAAGTGCTCGCAGATGGATTTCTGCAATAGGCATCACCAAAGAGACCTTGATCATCATCTGCCGAAAGGGACTCCACTTCCCTATCCATATTAGGACCCAAGACTCTGGTAGGCAACTCTGTCTGTTCACTGGCCAACTGTACATCCACAGCATCTTTAGGATCCCCCCGGTTTTGTCCTTCACTTGGGCCTCCATGCAAAGGGGTATCAGATTCTTCTGGTGGATACTCAGACAGACATCCTCCTGGAATGCAAGCCAATATTTCTACGTCCCCTTCCCTGAGCGGGCTGTCCTCCCTTGTCGAAATGGATACTTCATGGCTAGCAGGTCCTAACCCAACTTCTCCATGCGACAAGGGAATAGCTGAATCACTGGTCTTTGAGGATACCGCTGTTTCAGCTAACTGGAATTTGCCGTCTGGGCTTGGGGAGACCGATTCTGCCCTATCTGTGCAACTTGTAAGGACATCCGCAGCCATCAAATCAGCTTCATCCTCTTGGAATGGCTCTCTTTCAACCCCGGCCACTCGATGCGAGCTTAGACCTTCGTAAGACGTCAAACGGCACCGACTCTCCTCTTGCGACTCTGCCTCTTGGTTAACAAAGGTGCTCTGCTTCTCTAAATGTTCATCTGCCACCAATTCGGGGTCAGAAGTGGTATGCTGGTCAGTTGTACGGCTCTCGTCGTCACTCTCAGGAGGGGTCACGCACTCCAGGGTCATGGAACTGATCCAATTTAAACCTGAGTCCTCTTTAGAAGAGGCTCCTCCCCTCTCCGCTTTTAAACCACTCACGGTGTCAATCAGTTCACCAAGGAAGGACTTGATTTCTTCAGACACGACAGCTGAGACCTGGCTGAGCTTATCATCACAAGCTTTTTCTTCCACAGCGGATACATTTACATTACTTTCGTTTTCATCACTAGGCTCACTGCCATTCAACCCCAAGCACTGGATTTCTTCAGCTTCTACAACATCATTCCGTAATTCCGACATCTGCCCGGTCTTCTGTTCCCCTTGAATTACTTGGTGACTTGCTTCCAATGGATCTGTATCAGACACATTCATGTCTTCCTCTTCCTGGTCAGTGTAGGAACCCTCATCCGAACTTATTGGTTCGGGAAACACAGGACTTGGGGCTGATGCAATGGAGTCTTCTGGGTTCTTAGCCAATGTTGTCGCTTCGTCAGGAGTGGTTTGTTGGGCCGGATTCTGTAACGGAGCTGAATCGAGCGAATCGAGGGTTCCTTTTTCCTCCTGAGAAACACAGGAGTTCCCAATGAGACCTGATAGTTTAGAAGACACAAAAATTTTGGCCGATACAAGAGAATCACTTTGGTTTCCTACAGATTCTTCTCTGTTCGGCATACTGTTTTGTACTTGGCCCAGTTCACAAGCCGACTCAGCCGGGGGGACTTCCTCCTGGGACTCCGCTTCAATCACATTCATTTGATTTGGAGATTCAGGACATTTAGTTGACATTGCAGAGTCTTCCTGGCTCCCTAGCAACTCTGATACTTCATCAGGCCTTGACCGATGGGCAGGATTAGTTTCCTGCAAAGCTGAACTGGCCCGGCTGGTTTCTTTGCCTCCCTCAGAAACACCATCTATATCAAATGGGTTTGAGAATGTCTGACTTTTCCCTAACACCAGAAAATCTCCTTGGCTCCCTACAAAATCCCCTTGAGTTACCGAATCATTCTTTATTTGGTTCAGTTCAGTAGCTTGAAGAGAAACTGAATCTGCTGGACAGATTTCTTTATCTTCCTGGGAAATGCCGGAGTGTTCAACCAGGTCTGTTTGATTTGGAGATATAGGAAGTTTGGGTGATTCAACAGAATCTTCAGTCACTTCATCAAGAATGACCTGATGCAAAGGAACAGTTTGCGATGGATGAAAATCAGCCAGGACGTCTCTTTTACTGTCCTGCGAAATACAGAGACCCTCAACAGAATCCATTTGGTTTAGAAATGCAGATTTAGAGTCTAATCCTGCAGGGTTGTCTTGGTCCCCTGGTGATTCGGTTACTGTTTCGGAAGCAGACTGCTGTACAAAACTTGCAGTTGGTGATGGGCTTAAAGTTGTCAAGCTATCACCAGAGGACACCGCATCACACATGCAGGTCTCTTCAGCCACACAACCCTCCTGGGCAAGTTCCTCGCTATCCTGATCCAAATCCACATCTCGTGGCTCCACATCAGCATCATTGCTATCCGAAAGAGCAAGGTCAATTGATTCCAGCTCCGTGTTCTCACCATCAACGTCCTCCTCGTCTTCATCTACCGGGAGATCCTGCGAACTCCCTTTTCCTCTATACGGACGTTTGTCTTTCCCATACTCTGCATTTGCCTCTAACCACGTCGCTCCGGAAGAATGCAGCGACTTGATACTGCTGATTTGGCAGCCGTCCTCCTTCGTGGAAGATGAGGTGTTGTTTATTTCCGGCTTCTCTGTGGAAATGGCACTCCCGGTACTTGTTACCCCCTGTCTATCTTTTGGGGTCTCTGGCAGTTCAGGAAGCACAGAAGCAGAGTTGCTTTGGGAAACTTCCACCAAGTTGACTGTTTCTACTTCTGCCTCCACGTCAGGTCTCGAGCAACTTCTGCCGTGGCCATTTAAAGAGCCGCCGCTCTGGCTGAGAGGAGAGATAACCGGTTCCAGAAAGAACTCCTCTTCGGCTTCCTTCCCGGGTACCTGAAAGTGACAAAAGTTTCAGAGATTCAGGGAGATTCAGGGAGACACGAAGAGGCACAGGCAGAATACCTACAGCTTTCAAATCGGCAAGCTATTCTAAAACACACAAATCAAAATTATGATTCGACTACAGTAACGCAGAGAACAACAAGATTTTGAGAGTATGAACTTGAAGCGATGAACAAGGAAACGCCTCATGTCAGAAGTTAATTGATAAAGAGTTACAACTTTGTATCTACACTTGGGCTTTTAGTGCCTTTTTCTCTCCCTTAGTCTGTAGTCTTTCCCCTCCCCTTCTTTCGTTATAGTTATGTAAAGGTAAAGGCTTCCCTTGCTCGAAAGCCAGTCAAATCCGACTCCAGGGTTGCGGTGCTCATCTCCATTTCCAAGCCGAAGAGCCAGCGCTGTCCGAAGACGTTTCCGTGGTCATGTGGCTGGCATGACTAAACACCAAGGCGCACGGAACACTGTGACCTTCCCACCGAAGTGGTACCTATTTATCTACTTGCAATTTCTTGCTTTCGAACGGCTAGGTTGGCAGGAGCTGGAACTAGAGATGGGAGCTCACTCCGTCTTGCGGCACCCGGGTCTCGAACTGCTGAACGACCAACCTTCCACAGCCTGTAGTTCAGCGTCTTAACCACTTGAGCCACCGCAGCTCCTATAGTTATGTAGTTATTGTAACTGTATGTATGTATGTAATTGTAAATGGAATTGATTGTTTTATCTGGTTTCAGTGTTATGCAGGGCTTTTTTTGTAGAAAAAGACCAACAGGAACTCATTAGCATAATAGGCCATACCCAACAGCAGGAACACATTAGCATATTAGGCCACACCCCTGACAGCACAGCTCATTAGCACATTAGGCCGCACCCCCATGTTACCAGAAGTGTGGTCATCCAGCCACACCCACCTTTTGCTTCTTATTCTGTTCACCTTGTTTGTTGTCCAAACGGTCCAGGGCCTTTTTTGTAGCAGGGACTCCTTTGCATGTTAGGCCACACACCCCTAATGTAGCCAATCCTAATGAGTTCCTGCTGTTGGGTGTGGCCTGTTATGCTAATGAGTTCCAGCTGGGTGTGGCCAACTCAGGAGCCAGCAGGAACTCCGTTCCTGTGCGTTCCTGCCCAAAAATAGCCCTGGTGTTATGTATGGCAATTGCCTCTTGTTAGCCACCCAGAGCCCACGTGGAAGGCTCAGGATATAAGTCAAATAAATAAATAAATTATTCTAGAGACGCAAATTTAAAAATCCCCTTCGGGGAGCAAAAAGAAAAAGATTTTGAGAGTATGAGCTTTCAAGAGTCAAAATTCACTCCGTCAGGGTGGTTATCCGAACAAAGGGAGCTTTGACTCTCGAATGCTCACAACCCTGAAAAGCTGGTTGGTCTCTAAGGTGCTGCGGGGCTGGAATCTAGCTATTCGACGGCACACCAACATGGCTACCCTCTGTGAAACTGTCTGGACACAGGAAGCCGCTGCCATGTCGGAGCCAGAAGCTGAAACCTAAACGCGACCGATTTGCGCTATATCAGCCTTTTTAAGTTTAAGAGGGCGCAGGCTTTTAAACGGTACAGGAATCTTCCAGAGGAGTCAGGGGCTCGCCGTATTGGTCTACAACAGAACAGCTAGATTCAGGTCCAGTAGCTTGGTGGAACAGGGCCTGCAGGCTAGAGCAGGCCTGTTCCACCACAGTCTGTAAGGTGCGACCGCACTCAAAGCTACTTGTTCTAAGAATTAAAACATTTACCTCTGTGGGGAATTCACCCCAATCATTCAGCCTCTGGGTTGCACACCATAACCCTTGTCACAGGGGCCCCTCTGAATGTCTGTAGCTGGCAGAGAGAATAAGTCCCGGGAATGATGCCTCCAATCCCCCCCCCCCAGCCCAGAAGAAGACGAAGAAGAGATTGGATTTATACCCTGCCCTTCACTACCCAAAGGTGTCTCAGAGCGGCTTACAAACTCCTTTCCCTTCCCCTTCCCCTCCCCACAAGAGACACCCTGTGAGGTAGGTGGGGCCGAGAGAGCTCTTGACAGAAACTGCTCTTTTTCAAGAACAGCTCTTATCAGAACTACGGCTTGCCCAAGGTCATCCAGCAGGTGCAAGTGGAGGAGTGGGGAATCAAACCCGGTTCTCCCGGGTTAGAGTCTGCAGACTTAACCACTAGACCAAACTGGCTCTGCCAAACTCTTCAGTTTTGCAAATGGAAGGCCAGGGAAAAACAAATACTTTGCCATATCACATCTTGATAGAGTGTCACACCTCAGAAGACAGAGTTGGAGACAGCCAAATGGCTAGATAGTTTCTCTTCCTCTTGAGCCAGGAAGATTAGAACTGGAGGAGGGGGAGGAGAAACTCTCCGGGGAGATATTATAAATTCCAAAGTCATGAGGAAGAAGGGCAGAAGGGCATGTACACAAACACACACAAAATTGGTATTTTCCAGGTTCGGGTATAGCAAACTTGAAAAACATCAGTATATATCAATATTCCCGAATCCCAAATCAATATTCCCGAATCATACTGATATTGGGATTCGGGAAATAATCGGTATTGCCGAATTTATTTGGTCCAGTAGCACCTTAGACACCACCCAGATTTTGGGGGTATAAGCTTTCAAGTGTCAAAGCTCCCTTTGTCAGATATGAGCATTGACTCTTGCACGCTCACACCCTGAAACACTTGTTGGTGTCTAAGGTGCTTCTGGACTCAAATCGACCTCTTCTGTTGCAGATCAACATGGCGAGGAGCAGCCTTTTGTTTACAATTAAAGAGCTGGTACAGAAGAGGAGCTGTTCTTTCTTCCAAGAAAGCAGGGCCAGAAGGAAGGCTGCTGCTGGGAGAGACCCTCACCCTGAGAGAAAGGGTGAGTAGACTCAGGCCCAACAGACAGTGGACTAGGGACTGTGAGTCTAGTCGCATTAGGGGCATTTGTTTTCTTTTCTCTTTACCCACTTATCGTTATCATTCTTGCACCTTGTTTGTTTCCCATATTTGACTGACCTATAAAATAAACCTTTTATTCGTTGTTTACTCTGCCTGGTCCTCACGCCTATTATTCGGCCAAATAAGGGAGGTCTGAAGGTCTGGGGGGGGGGTGCTCTGGGCCTTCTCAAGGGATCCTAAAATCAGAGTGGTGGCAGCATCAGGTGACACCCCCACCTGAGCTGTGACAGTGTGTCTGTGTGAAAGGCTTTCTGTCCACCCAATCTTCATCACCACCATCCAACAGATGAGGAGGTACAACCAGCACTTCTGTTTTGGGGGAGATTTAACCCTCCCCCCCAAAAAAACCCCGTTTGAAACCTTTCCCATTTTTTCTGCTAACCTGGGGAGTCCCCCAAGTTTGCGGAACTATCTGTTTTTAGTCCCTGTGGGCCTGATCCGTGGATATAAATATCTGCAGATCCAACCACACTTGACTGCGAGATATAAAGACAGAGCCCATCCGATCACCAGCAAAGGGGGTTGTTTTGTTAAGGCAAACCATACCGAGACTGTGGGATGGGAAAACCATGGCCCCTGAGAATCTGAAAACTGGCCACTGCTGGGCTACTAAAATATTACCTTGTCAAAGGCCTGAGGCAAATTCTCCAAGTCGCTGTCAAAGTAGCTGACTGGCCCATCTTTCAAAGGCAGGTCGCCGGTCTCCACAGGGTCGGCAAGGGGAGCCTCGTTCTCTATGCAGTTTGTAGAGGATAGTTCATTACAAGACAGTGGTTTCTCCACGGGGGAACAGGCTCTTCCTTCGACTTTATCGGGCGTCTGGTATTCCTCAGAGAACAAGTCCACCGAATGCTTATCCGAGTCGCAGAAACCCTCGCTGTCATCAATGAGCTCCAAAGGATCCACAACACTGTTCAGCGATACGTATTTGGCAGGGTTGCTGTGTTCAACCACCTTCCTGACTGTCGGGGATCTGAAGGGCTTGCTATAAAACAAGGCCACCCACATGTGGAGGATCAGTTTCATTTCTTCCACATCATCAGACAGGCTCAGGTCCCAGGGCCTAGAGAAAGAGCAAAGGAAGGAAAGAGAAGGGGGGGGAGAGAGAGAGAGACATTTTTAAAAATTATAACGCCATTCAGAAAGTTGGATTAATTAAATCTTCTTAATCTCTGAACAGTGTTATAACTGCAGTTTCTCTAACAAGTTGGGTAACAAATTCCATTGGGTGGAAAGAGTTTATTTTATTTATTTATTTATTACATTTCAACCCCGCCCTCCCGCCGAAGTGGAGTTGACAAAGAGAACTCTTTTCCCTCTTTCTCCCAAAATACAACTCAAAGGCATCCAATGAACCTGATGGGCAGTCGATTCAGGATGGAAAAAAGGAAATACTTCTTTACACAGTGAATGTTTAAAACAGGGATGTCAAACATGCAGCCCATGCTCCAGATCCAGCCCCAAAGGGCTCCTATCCGGCCCTTGAACAACTAGCTCTCTCCAGCTTCCTTCTCCAGTTCTGATACAGCTGTGTTGCAGCTGGCTTTACCAGACTCTCTATTGCACAGCAAAGATAGATAGGCGAGCCTCTGCATTAGTTGAGGCTCCCCCCCTCCTCCATCGGGGGGGGGGAACAAGCCAGAGCTTGCTTCCTGGCCAGATTGCCTCAATTGCACAGGAGACAAAGGCAAGCCTTTCTTCCCTTCCATTGGCTGAGGCGCCTCCCCTTCTCAGCTGCCTCAATTGCATGGGAGAAATACAAAGCACCTTTAAGACCAATGAAGTTTTATTCAAGATATAAGCTTGTGCGTGAATTGCTACAGTGTGTGTGTATTTTGTTGGGCTCGTTATGCTGTGTGTGAATACGTGTATGTTTTGTTGGGCTCGTTATGTTGTGGCTCTCCTGGGTGCAACTGGGTTTGCCTCCCCTTTATCACTGTATTAATGACCTCATGATCCAGTATTTCTCAAAGAAAAGCAATGTGAACTATTTAGATGAAGAATAACAACAAGCCAGTGAGGTGGATTAGGCTGATAGTGTCTGTTCTTACCAAGTTCACCCAGCGCATTTCCTTTGTAGACTGGGGTTTTTGAACCTAGACTTCCCAGATTGCAGGCTGATACTGACCACTATATAGGGCTGTCTCTATTCTTGTACTGCCTCATAGGAGTTATTTTTCTGGGAAGACTATAGTTTTTTTAGACAAACACATAGCCCTCACTCTGTGTCATAATGCCTTCACGTGTTCTTGACCAGCACACAAAGTCATTTATGTCCCAAAGCTCGCAATGCCCAGCTATTTCATGTTTTCCCGAGTCCTAGACTCAGAGCACTGACCATGAGATTTTTGTAATTAATGTCAATAAATCAAAAAGTAGGTTTGCAGCTTCCAGACACACACCTAAACAGCATACTCAAGATTGCAGCAGCACAGACATTTAGATGCAATAATTCAGAGCAAGAGGTGCCAGTTATCAGATTGTTAAATAAACAAAATATTGCAAGAGTGCTAATGTTTTAAGTATGTTTTTAAGTTTAAAAAAATCTTTGTGTTTGTGTCCTTTATAAAGTTTATACCTCCGCTGCCTGGCATTACATTTTATGACACACATGGCCCGGCCCGACAAGATCTCATTTATGTCAGATCTGGCCCTTATAACAAATGAGTTTGACATCCCTGGTTTAAAACATGGATTTCGCTGCCAAAGGATGGCCACAGGCACAGATGGCTTTAAAAGGGGAGTAGACAGTTTCATGGAGGAGAGGTTTATCAGTGGCTACTAGCCATGGCGACTAAAATGAACCCCCACATTTAGAGGCAGTCAACCTCTGAATCGAAGTGCTAGGAGGCAACATCAGGGGAAGGTCTCGGCCTCTGTGCCCTGCTTGTTGGCCCTCCCGAGGAGCTGGTTGGCCACTGTGTGAGACAGGATGCTGGACTAGATGGACCTTCACTGGTCTGATCCAGCAGGGCTCTTCTGAGGTTCTTATGAAGGCCTCGGCCTCCATGCCCTGTTGTTGGCCCTCCAGAGGAACCGGTTGGCCCCTGTGTGAGACAGGATGCTGGACTGGATGGACCAGTGGTCTGATACAGCAGGGCTCTTTTTACCTTTCTGTGATTGGACTTTTGTCCCACCCTTCTAACGTAAGTGTAACTTCGAGGAAGAACACATCCATGGCACGCACAACGTTGTAGAATCATTCTAAACCATGGCAGACCATATTGCTTGGAGTTGGCTCCTGACCCAAGGGATTGAGCCAAGTCCCCGAAGTGCTGGCAGCACTCCTGGGACTTAACCGGCTCCCAACCACGTCTGTGAAGTGCAAGTCTCATCTCTCCCAGTTCCCATTTTGTTTGCCAGCACATCAGTGTCCTTACAGGTAGACGCAGCGGGGCTTTTGGCACTTGGGAAACCGAGGCTGCCTACTCGTTCTACAGAAGGATTCACCAAAGCCCACAATGGAGGAACATGGTGCTGATCAATCCAGGGCGCTGAAGAAGTCTAGGCTTTGGTCGCGATTTGCTGGTTTGGACCACAATCCTGCGTGTGTAAAGTGCTCTCAAGTTATGGTGACCCCAGCGAGGGGCTTTCAGGGCAAGCGGGAAGCAGAGGTGGTTTGCCACTGCCTTCCTCTGCAGAGTCTTCCTTGGTGGTCTCCCACCCAAGTACCGACTATGCTTAGCTTCCAGTTTACAGTGACCCCCCCCAGCGAGGGGCTATCAAGGCAAGCGAAAAGCAGAGGTGGTTTGCTGTTGCCTTCCCCTGCAGAGTCTTCCTTGGAGGTCTCTCTTCCAAGTACCGACCCTGCTTAGCTTTTGTGATCTCAGAAGACTGGGTTGCACCATTCCACATGCCCTCCTGGACCATAATCCGAGGGTCATTTTATTAACGTTTTATGACTGTAAGAAATTAAGTCCGGAATGCTTTCAGGAACAAATCTGGAGTTATGATCAGCCAGCCTCCAGCTGCAACTTCTGTCTCCCTCCCCCCTTTCCGCACTAATGTCAAAACAATTAGGTTGCCATTGCAAAACGTCAATAGTCCCGCTGTACACTGATCTGTCAGGCCACACCTGGAGTAGTGTGTGCGGTTCTGGAGGCCTCCCTTCCAAAAGGATGTGGACAGAATGGAGCCGGTAGAGGAGAGCGACGAGGGTGATCGGGGGCCTGGAGACCAAGCCCTGTGAGGAAAGGCTGAGGGACTTGGGAATGTTCAGTCTGGAGAAAAGGAGGTTGAGGGGGGGCATGATTGCTCTCTTGAAGTATCTGAAGGGCTGTCACTTGGAGTAGGGCAGGGAGCTGTTCCTGTCGGCAGCAGAGAATAGACTTGCCAGAATTGGGTTTAAATTAAGAGTGGGAAAGAACCGGTTGGATATTAGGGAAAACGTTTACAGTCAGAGTTGTTCAACAGTGGGATCAGCTGCCTAGGGAGGTGGTGAGCTCCCCCTCCCTGGCACTCTTTAAGCAGCGGCTGGACAAACCCTTGCCAGGGATGCTCTAGGCTGATCCTGCATTGAGCAGGGGGTTGGACTAGATGGCCTGTAGGGCCCCGTCAGATTCTCTGATTTTTTAAATGATTCTATGATCCTAGGTTCAAGTCCAGGAGCATCTTAGAGACCGACATGATTTTGGGGAGGTACGAGCTCTCCAGTGTCAAAGCTCCCTTCCTCTGATACCAACAGAGAGAAACGAACATTCGTTCCCTGTGAAATTTCGGTTTTGGCAGTATAGGGATGGTGACAGTCTGAATGTAGGAGTTCGAGTAGGAGCCGCCGCCGCCACTATTCTACCACCGAGGTGGCAAGTCATCGGCTGCCCTATAAGAACGGGGGCAAGCGGGCCCTGGCAGAAGTTTGAGACAGTGTAGTGGGAGACCACACTACTGAGACAGCTGGCCACCAAACCTGGGGGGGGGGGTTGTCCCCATCTTCGATGATTAATATAGGTATAGCACCGTATTATTGGAAGGTTTTATTGTGATTTTAAATGTTTTATTTATTATATATATTTATTTATTATATATATTTTGCACTCAGCTTTGCCGCATGTGAGCCGCCCTGAGCCTTTGGGAGGGCGGGATATAAGTCAAACTAATAAATAAATAAATAAAATAAATAAAATATAAATAAATGTCTGCTAAGGAGGAGTGCAGAGCAGGCACTCCACCAGAATTCCACACTGCCCCATCCCTTCTTACTGGGGAGAAGAGCGGAGGGGGAACCCACCAAGCTGCACTGCCCAATAACCCTCCCGGAGAGCAATGCAGAAAAGGCGTTCGAAATGTGGGAAGGAGGCCCACTTACCACCGAGCACCCCACTGTGAAACTAGCAGGGGAAAGGAACACGAGAACATGCGCACTTGACGCAGGGGGCAAGGAACATCGGTAAAGGGAGAGGGGATGTAGCCAGCACTGTGACATCGAGGCATATTGCCGCAAGTATGCTCCAGACTAGGTGCCTCTTAATGTATCGTTTTTAAAAGCTCATTCGTTATTTCAGCTGCTTGAGATTTCTGTTTGTTTTCAGATTTCTGTAGTCCAAACCCAACTGTACTGTCCGTTGGATGTCCCATCGTGGTGTTGGGTTTTTTTCGTATTTTGTGTGTGTGTGTGCACGTGCGCCCGTGCCTGGAAGTCATGGTGACCTCTGGCGACTCCTACTGGGGCGTGGGGGACGTTCAGAGAAGAAGAAGAGATTGGATTTATACCCCACCCTTCACTACCCAAACAAACTCCATTCCCTCCCCCTCCCCACAACAGACACCCTGTGAGGTCGGTGGGGCCGAGAGAGCTCTTGACAGAAACTGCTCTTTTTCAAGGACAGCTCTTGTCAGAACTACGGCTTGCCCAAGGTCATCCAGCCAGGTGCAAGTGGAGGAGTGCGGAATCAAACCCGTTTCTCCCAGATTAGAGCCCGCGCACTCAACCACAACACCAAACTGGCTTGATAGCCTGCCTCTGCCCCCCCACCCCGGTATTCTTTGGAGGTCTCCCATCCAAATACTTGCCAGGGCTGGCCCTGCTTAGCTTCCGAGGTCTGATGAGATCGGGCTTGTCTGGGCTATCCAGGTGAAGGCGGATGTCCCATCCTGTTGATGATACTTGACTGATTGTACCTGACGTGCACTATGTAATCCGCCTTGAGTCTCAACAAGGAAGGCGGAGTATAAATACCCACAATAAACAAAGTTACTCTGGAGTCTAGGGACTTTAATGGAGTCTAGGGCTGGAGCTAGGGAGGAGGCAAACGCTCTTGTTGCTGATAGCAAGGCCCACGGGCAGTCCAAATGCCGATCCGACATGTGACTCAAATGGACAAACAAAGACACCGCAAAGCCGGGCCTGTCGGTCCAGAACAAGACTCAGAAAATGATAATCCCCTCCGTACCGGATTCAGTACCTTTCCAAACCTGGGAGAAAAGCCACTTACCCGTGTACAGCCCGAACAATCGTTTTCTCTAACGAATTGTTCGTGTATTTGCTATCTACGCTGAAGAGGTATTCGGCCTCCCACTGGCAAGTCACTCGAACTGACTGGTCGCAAAAGGTCACTTTGCGAGACTTGCCGAAGTCGTCCTTTGGCCTGGCAGCCATGACAGCAGAGCGCGAGAACGGTAAGTAGCTCCGAAATTGCTTGTGTGGGTGACAAATGTTCTGCTGGTGCCGGAAAGGCAGGACTTTCCCGACGAGGGGTCCCGACTTCGCACTTTTCACCCCATTCTTGGAGCTGGGGGGACTCGGTGACCCTCTCCAAGGGAGCTGCTTTTGCACAGGCTCCAGGGCCGGAGAGGCATAGGAGTGCTCAGTGGAGATCAAAAAGGGCACACTCGGGTCCAAAACATCTCCAATTTCTGTTGGAAGTGCTGCAAGGGGCTTGGGTGGATGGGGTCTTGCACTCTTTTTCTTGCCAGAACTTACATGGCCCCTCTCTCGAGGGCTAGAAGGGGGATCCAGGCTTGGATCGGGTTGTGCGGGGGATGAATGGGACCACTGAGGACTCCTGCCGGGAAGGGAAGTGCCTTTCAATTTTGCGTTGATCCTGTGATACTCGTGATCAGAAGCCTTTTGCAAAAGCTTCTCTCTCTGCAGGTGCCGCCGCTCTCGCGATGGGCTGTGAGACAACCCGGATCTGTCGGCGTTAGGGAGGAGCAGAGAGTCACGGGAGCTGAGGGCCAGATCGGCCAGCATGTTCAAGGCATGGGAATCGCAGTTGTCTATTCTCAGGGGCAGACAAGTGTCCCAAGAAGGAGACCGTTCTCGAGAAGGAGCGTTCTCGTCACCGTGGATTTCCAACTCGACTACGTCTGTATCGCCGTGGATGTATTTCTTCTTCACTGCAGAAGAGAAGTCAAGGAATCAGCGTGAAAACAGGGTTCTAGTATCACTCAGCACAGAACACATATGACGCCGCCTTGTACTGGATCAAGATGGGTCACCGTCAATGCTCCCTCTAAGCCAGTGATGGCGAGCCTGTTAGAGACCGAGTGCCCAAACTGCGACCCAAAACCCACTTATTTATCGCAAAGTGCCAACACGGCAATTTAACCTGAATACTGAGGTTTTACTTTAGAAAAAACAACTCATACATTAACTTAAGATGATCCAAACAAAGGAAGGAAAGCAATCCCAAATGCTTTCATTTACTTAAAATTATTTGGCAGAGGATTCGACACTTTAATGACGGTCTGGGCCTGGCTGGGGCGATGGCACGCGTGCCCACAGAGAGGGCTCTGAGTGCCACCTCCGGCACCCGTGCCATAGGTTTGCCACCACTGCTCTACGCTGTGGAGTCTTGTGAGCAAAAATTCTACTTTGTGAGCTGCCGGCATCAAAGTTGTGAGCGAGCGATTTGGCTGCTGCATAAATCAGTTTGCTCTGGAGCCCTCCCTTCCCGAGCTAAGGCAAAAATGTCTGAGCCGGAGGCTAAAAAAAACCCTATGAGCTGGCTCACGCTAACTCAGCTTAGAGGGAACACTGGTCACCGTGTTAATCTGTATGTAGTAGCAGAAAAGCACAAGAGTCCAGTGGCACCTTAAAGACCAACAACATTCGTGGCCAGGAGGTGAGCTTTTTTGAGACCCTGCTCAGGTCGAGTGAGCAATGACTCACCAAAGCTCCTCCCCCTGACACAAATTTTGTTAGTCTTCAAGGTGCCACTGGACTCTTGTGCTTTTCTACTTATACTGAATCACACCATCAGCTCATCAAAGGTCAGTACTGTCCACTCGGACTGGCAGCGGCTCTCCAGGGTCTCAGGCGAAGGGCTTTTGCCTCAACGACCACCTAATCCTTTTGAACTGGAGATGCCGGGGAGTGAATCTGGGGCCTTCTGTGTGCCAAGCAGATGCTCTACACCAGGGGTCCTTTTGTAGAAAAAGAGGTGCAGGAGCTCATTAGCATAACTTATTTGCATGTGCCACGCCCCCTGACATCACCGGAAGTGTGTCGGAAGGCAACACCCACCACTCAGGCTCCACTGGACTGTTTTGGATTGCTAGCTATTGGGGGGGGGGAACGTGCAGATCTGTCCTCACAGAGGAGGGAGAGCTTGTACCTGAATAAAACTTGGTCTTAAAGGTGCCACTGGACTGTTTTGGGCTGGGGGCTCTGCAGCTTACCTGGCTGCTTCTTGCTCTGACTGAGGGCTGCTGGGAGCAGGGGGTGGGGCTTGTTGCACGTGCCCGCCCCCTGGGCTCTTTACTGCCGGAGCCCCGCTCCTGTGCGCTCCTGCAGGAAATGACCCCTGCTCTACACCACTGAGCCACGGCCCCTCCCCACCTACTCGAACAGGGAAATTGATTTTTCAGCCTTGTTGTAAACAAAGGGAATATAATCAAACGTTTATTTTAGAAAAATAGAGCCCTTTAAATGGGACTAATCTAAATTGGATACACACGTTTCTTTCCCTGTTGAGGTTTAAACTGACATGCATCTTTGCCTGTATCTTTGAGAGCCTATGATTCGCTTCTTACACTATGAACCTTGCGGTCTGTTCAAATTGCTGAAATCAGGGTGAGTGTATTTTTCAGGCAGCTTTCTTTAAAAACAACTGTTTTTTATATGTATTTTCGTGTTACACATTTGTGTAAATCTCTTTACAGTTCCACTTACACAGCCGGCAAACTGAAGAAGTCGAAGGGAACGCATCTTCTGAGTATCTAGAACGGGCGTCTTTGCAAAGGCTGTTTGGACAATAGTATGACTATGTGGACTCCTCCTATCAAGTTACACTGATTACATGGACTTTATGTCTTATCTACAAAGGAGGAAATATTGCAGTCAATGTTCCCTCTAAGCTGAGTTAGTGTGAGCTAGCAAGGTGCAGAGCCCCCCTCTGGCCCGCCTTCAGGTACAAGCTCTCCCTCCTCTCTGAGGGCAGATCTGTGCATTCCCCTCCCCCCCCACAGCTAGCAATCCAAAACAGTCCAGTGGCACCTTTAAGACCAAGTTTTATTCAGGTACAAGCTCTCCCTCCTCTGAGAGGACAGATCTGCACATCCCCCCCCCATAGCTAGCAATCCAAAAGAGTCCAGTGGAGCCTGAGCGGTGGGTGTTGTCTTCTAACACACTTCCGGTAATGCCAGGGGGTGTGGCATATGCAAATAATTTATGCTAATAAGTTATGCTAATGAGCTCCTGCACCTCTTTTTCTACAAAATGACCCCTGAGTTACAGTATGCACTAATGTTGTTGTTGTGACACCACCAACTTTATAATTGTTTAATATATTGTTTGGCAATTTTCGATGGTGTTTTCTACTACTGAAAGAACTTGTGACTGACCCAAGGTCACAAAAGTTTTTAAGGTATGAGCTTTCAAGAGTCAAAGCTCCCTTCACCCTCTATTTGATGAGTAAGGAGAATTTTAAGCAACTGAGAAGAATATATGATTTGGTGTATTGCTTATGATATTAGAATACGCAGCTATGTTTGAATTTTAGATTTAGTACCGAGTGATTGTATTCGGCTTTGTCGGGGATAAAATCTTGTACGTTCTTCTTGTTCTCTAAGGCGTCACGGAACTGGAATCTAAGCGGTTCTACTGCAAACCAGCACAGCTGCCCTCTGATACTATCTCGGGAGCTTTTGATTCCTGAAAATTCGTACTCTGAAATTCTCATTGGATCTCTAAGGTGAACTAGACTCCAATCTACTGCAGATTAATACAGCTACCCTCAGAAAAGGCCTAAAGTGGCCTAGGACGAGAGCTCTGCCTAGTGAGTCATGTTCTCCCTAATGTGTGAAAGAGACCGTGTTTCCTAGTGGTTAAAGTGTCAGGCGAGAGACTACGAAGTGCCTGGTTCAAATCCCCAGGTGGCCAAGAAGCTCACTGGGTGATCTTGAGACAGTCGATCTCTCTCAACCAAGCCTACTTTGCAGGGCTGATATGAAGAAAATGCAAGATGTTCCAGCAGAATTCTCCCCCGTGAACAGAAGAAGAAGATGGAGCAGAGGGGTGTGAGCAGAGGGGGCAGGGGGAAGAGTCCTTGCGGGAAGGGTATCCTAAGGCCTAGATTGATGCCTCAGTTCCCCAACTGTACATCCCTGACTTGGGTTCGAAGATCGAAGCATCAGGATTTTACTCTGGGGCAATGATGCTCTGTACTCCTAGTTCTGGGGGGGCCACAGTAGGAGGGCTTCTGGAGTTCCGGCCCCGCTGGTGGACCTCCTGAGGGCAACCTGGTTTTTGGCCACTGTGTGACACAGAGTGTTGGACTGGATGGGCCACTGGCCTGATCCAACATGGCTTATCTTATGTTCTTATGTCTTGGGCAGTGTTCCTCTGTATTATTGGTGCTTGGGGGGGCAACAGTGGGAGGGTCTTCTGGAATTCCAGGCCTGTTGGTGGACCTCCTGAAGGCACCTGGGGTTTGGCCACTGTGTGACACAGAGTGTTGGACCGAATGGGCCACTGGCCTGATCCAACATGGCTTCTCTTATGTTCTTTTGTCTGGGGCAGTGATGCTCTGTCTTCTTGGTGCTTGGGGGGCAACAGCGGGAGGGCCTCTGGAGTTCTGGCCCTGCTGGTGGACCTCCTGAAGGCACCTGGGTTTCGGCCACTGTGTGACACAGAGTATTGGACCGAATGGGCCATTGGCCTGATCCAACATGGCTTCTCTTATGTTCTTATGTCTGGGGCAGTGATGCTCTGTCTTCTTAGTGCTTGGGGGGCAACAGCGGGAGGGCCTCTGGAGTTACGGCCCTGCTGGTGGAACTCCTGAGGGCACCTGGGTTTTGGCCACTGTGTGACACAGAGTGTTGGATGGAATGGGCCATTATCCTGATCCAACATGGCTTCCCTGATGTTCTTATGGCCCTGCTGGTGGACCTCCTGAAGGCACCTGGGTTTCGGCCACTGTGTGACACAGAGTGTTGGACTGGATGGGCCACTGGCCCAACATTGGCTTCTCTTAATGTTCTTACCTGTCCGACTCTTGTTGTTTTCTGTCTTCTCCACCTCCGCACTCTTGCTGCCGCTCAAGAGCCTTGGCTTCTTTTGTTCAGCGCCAGGAACCTCAGAAGACAACGTGGCTTTCACGGCAGACTCATGCCTTGTCCTCTGCACTATTTCCGCTGACAACACCTCGGCACCTGGGAGAAAGAAAGGCTGTTTGAGAGGAGGGGAGGCGTAACCCAACCCTACCACCCAGGGGTCATTTCATAGAAAAAGCGGCGCAGGAGCTCATTAGCATAACTCATTAGCATAACTTATTTGCATGTGCCACCCCCCCCTGACATCATCGGACGCGTGTCGGACGGCAACACCCACCGCTCAGGCTCCACTGGACTGTTTTGGATTGCTAGCTATTGGGGGGGGGGGACGTGCAGATCTGTCCTCGCAGAGGGAGAGCTGGTACCTGAATAAAACTTGGTCTTAAAGGTGCCACTGGACTGTCGTGGACCGGGGGGCCAGGGGGGAGCTCTGCAACTTACCTGGTTGCTTCTTGCTCTGACTGAGGGCTGCTGGAAGCAGGGGATGGGGCTTGTTGCATGTGCCCGCCCCCTGGGCTCTTTACTGCCGGAGCTCCGCTCCTGTGCGCTCCTACACGAAATGACCCCTGCTACCACCACTGCCGTGTGATTCAGTGCCACCGCACTAGATGCTATGCAGAACAGAACAGTGACGTGCCCCCCTCCATCCCAGGGGGTAGGCAATCCACATTCCTTACGGCCCCATAGAGACATTACTGAGCCCATGGAAAAGCCCTTCTCTGAGCCAACACCACATGTGGCAGAAAGTCCTTTCTGTCTGTACAACAAGGATAGACACCCACACACCCCTGCACACATTGGCTTTTTGCTGATTAACTCTCTCCTTTATGGCCTTGGTCCCTCATATCTGAATGTAAGAGAAGCCACGTTGTATCAGGCCAATGGCCCACCCAGTCACCATGACTTCCAGGCACAGGTGCACGTGCCACAGTGGCCCAAACCCAGGTGCCCTCCGGAGGTCCACCAGTGGGGGCACAGCTCCAGAAGCCCTTCTGCTGTGCCCCCCTCCAAGTACCAAGAATATAGAGCATCACTTACCCAGAGTGTTCCCTCTATACCTTGTGGGAAGAAGGAGAGGGGGAGGAATAGATTGGATTTATACCCTGCCCTTCCCTACCCAAAGGAATGTCAGAGCGGCTTGCAATCTCCTTTCCCCTCCCCTCCCTTTAACCTGGGAGGTAGGTGGGGCTGAGAGAGCTCTTTCAAGGACTGCTTTGGAGATAACAGTGCTGAAAGAACTTGTGACTGACCCGAGGTCATGCCAGCAGCTGCACGTGGGGGAGTGGGGACTCAAACCGGGTTCTCCCAGATTAGAGTCTGCACTCCTATCCGGGACACCAAACTGGCTAATAGCCGCTGATGGACCTCTGCTCCGTATGTCATCCGATCCCCTCTTGAAGCCGTCCATGCTTGTAGCTGCCACCACCTCCTGATGCAGTGAATCCCACATGTTAATGACTCTTTGGGTGAAGAAGGGCTTCCTTTGATCTGTTCTAAACCCATTGCTCATTCGTTTCATTCTACACGGACGCCTCTCTCCCTACGGTCCGCCACGACGACGGCGCTCACCCCAGCAGGGCCTTTGCAGGTTCCATTCGGCAAATGGGCAAAACTGACAAGCACCCCATATCCTGGCATTCTCAGGGGTGGCCCCCTCCCCTTCCAGAATGGCCTCCTTGATGAGGTTAGGAAGGGTTCTGCTCTCCTGGCTTTCTGCAAACTAGGTAAAGGTCAAGGTTTCCCTTGCTCGAAAGCCAGTCAAATCCGACTCGAGGGGGCGGTGCTCATCTTCGTTTCCAAGCCGAAGAGCCAGTGCTGTCCGAAGACGTTCCCGTGATCACGTGGCCGGCATGACTAAACACCGAGGCGCACAGAACACTGTTGCCTTCCCACCGCAGCGGTACCTATTTATCGACTTGCAATTTCTTGCTCTCGAACTGCTAGGTTGGCAGGAGCTGGGACCAGCGATGGGAGCTCACTCTGTCACGCGGCACTCGGGTCTCGAACTGCTGAACTACCGACCTTCCGGTCTTGCAGCTCAGCGTCTTAACTTCTGAGCTACCGCGACCCCATTCTGCAAACTATGCAAAGCTAAATTATTCACAAATGGGGACTGTATTGCAACGAAATGGTCACAAAGTTGCATTGGTAAAAGGACTGAGACTGTGGCCTAAGCTAATGCATCGCTACCAAGGTCACGCTTTGGTTTCCGCTCGGTCTTAGATTTCTGATCGTTTCCAGACCTCTGCCGCCCAAACCCTATTGCACAGTTCCCCGGATCTCCCGTCCTCTGGACTGCGCTCGATTCGCACAACATAATCGGCCTCGAGTGTCAGCGAGGCTGCAAATAGTCTAAACAAAAATATCCTGCGGTTTGTTTCGGATCTCTCCCTCTTCTTTGAAATCTCTAGATCAGGGGTGCCAAACAAGCGGCCCAGGGGCCAGATCAGGCCCCCGGAGGGCTTTCATCAGGCCCACAGCGGAACTGGCCATCTCCTGCTTCCAGTTCTGCTGCTGCTGCATCATAGCTTGATTCCCCAGACTCTCTCAATCACTCGGCCATTTCATGTTCTAACCTGGGTCCTAGACTCATAAGAACATAAGAGATGCCAATGTTGGATCAGGCCAAAGGCCCATCCAGTCCAACACTCTGTATCACACAGTGGCCAGAAATACCAGGTGCCCTCAGGAGGTCCAGCAGTGGGGCCAGGACATTAGAAGCCCTCCCACTGTTGACCCCCCCAAGCACCAAGAAGACAGAGCATCCCTTGCCCCAGAGCCCCTATCTATACCTTGTGGCTAATAGCCACTGATGGACCTCTGCTCCATATGCCTATCTAATTCCCTTTTGAAGCCGTCCATGCTTGTAGCCGCCACCACTTCCTGTGGCAGTGAATTCCATGTGTTAATCACTCTTTGGGTGAAGAAGTACTTCCTTTTATCCGTTCTAACCCGACCGCTCAGCAATTTCATGGAGTGCCCACGGGTTCTTGTATTGTGAGAAAGGGAGAAAAGTACCTCTTTCTCTACCTGCTCTTTCCCATGCATAATCTTATAAACCTCAATCATATCACCCCTCAGTCGTCGTTTCTCCAAGCTAAAGAGCCCTAAGCGCCTTAACCTTTCCTCATAGGGAAAGTGTTCCAACCCTTTTATCCTTCGAGTTGCCCTTTTCTGCACTTTTTCCAAAGCTATAATATCCTTTTTAACGTGTGGTGACCAGAATTGCACAACACTCTGAGCATGAGATTTCTGTGGTGAATGTCAATAAATCAAAAGTAGGTTTGCAGCTTACAGAGCTAATGTTTCAAGCATGCTTTTACTTTAAGTAAAAAAAAAAAAAACCCTTTGTGTTTGTGTCCTTTATAAAGTTTACATCTCCACTGCCTGGCATTACAGAAAGTGATGCAAATGAGTGTGGGTACAAATATTTCAACTATACTGGCCTAGTAGCGCCTTTAAGACTAATAAACGTTATTGTAGTGTAAGCCTTTAAGAAACACAGCTCTCTTCATCAGACGCATGGAGGGTATGAAGAAACTGGCCAGAGATATATAGGTGGTAAGGGGATCTGCATCCTTTCCCCCCTTCCCCTTACCACCTATATATCTCTGGCCAGTTTCTTCATACTCTCCATGCATCTGACAAAGAGAGCTGTGTTTCTAGAAAGCTAGCGCTACAATAAAGTTTGTTAGTCTTAAAGGTGCTACTGGTTTTTTTACTATTCTGCAGCAACAGACTCACACAGCTAACTCCCCTGGACCTATTTCAGCAAGCTATTCACTATAGTGTAGACCACAGTCCCTAATCATTTATCCAAGTCACTCTGTGAAACATATTTATTTATTTAGTTATTCTTTGGATTTGTATCCCGCCCTCCCCGAATACAGTGTGACTCTATTGCCTGCATAGAAAAGCCCTCCTGAATAATTCAGTTTTGCACGGAACAAAGTTTGAGTCCAGTGGCACCTTCAAGAGCAACAAAGTCTAATTACGGGTATAAGCTTTCGTCTGCTTGGAGACGTGCGCATGCACACGAAAACTGATACCCAGAATTAGACTTTGTTGGTGTTGAAGGTGAGGGACTGCCTTTCCCCATATGTTCCCCAGAGAGTGCCGCGATTGGGGATCCAGAATCAGCTGGCCCTCCCGAACATCAAGTAGGCCAGGCTGGTGGCAGCTCCACTCTGGAGGAATGAGCTCCCGGAGGAGATCGGGGTCGTACTATACTGTTTGCACTGTTTTATGGAAGCCGCCCTGAGCCGGCCTTGGCCGGGGGGGGGGGGGGACAAGACAATTTCCTGTTAAACAACCTTTGTTGGTCTTAAAGGTACCACTGGACTCAACTTTCTTCTCTTTGCTTCAGACCGACACGGCTGACCCACTTGAATCAGTTTTGCATCGTCTGAGGAAAGCCAGGATTCTTAATACCAGAATATGAAGAGAAGAGAAGAGAAGAGAAGAGAAGAGAAGAGAAGAGAAGAGAAGAGAAGAGAAGAGAAGAGAAGAGAAGAGAAGAGAAGAGAAGAGAAGAGAAGAGAAGAGAAGAGAAGAGAAGAGAAGAGAAGAGAAGAGAAGAGAAGAGAAGAGAAGAGAAGAGAAGAGAAGAGAAGAGAAGAGAAGAGAAGAGAAGAGAAGAGAAGGGATTTATACCCCTCCCTTCACAACCCAAAGGTGTCTCAGAGCGGCTTACAAACTCCTTTCCCTTCCCCTCCCCACAACAGACACCCTGGGAGGTAGACGGGGCTGAGAGAGCTCTTGACAGAAACTGCTCTCTTTCAAGAACAGCTCTTATCAGAACTATGGCTTGCCCAAGGCCATCCAGCCAGGTGTAAATCAAACCCGGTTCTCCCAGATTAGAGTCCGCGCACTTAACCACTACACCAAACTGCCTACAAGTGATGCCGTTCTCACCTCTCTTCCTTTTTGAGGGATACTGAAGATTTTTTAATTTCAGGGTGGGCTCGCCAGATTCTGCCAAGGGCCTCTGCGTTTTGGAAGACGCAGGCAAATGATCCA